GTCTTCTACTCGCTTCAAGAAAATGCTGCTTAATAGAAGTAAAATTTTTTTATGAAAAATTTTCCTAAAGTACACATATAATTTATATATTAAGTGGAATAATGTGTATCAGAAATAGTAAGTTGGCCATATTATCAAATATACCTAAAAGGAATACACATTTAATGAGAGAAATTTTTAAGTGTAATAAGAAGTTATAGTTGTTTTCTTTTAAAAGATATAAATATAAAAAGAGTACTAATAATATGTACATATAAATAGATTTAGGTATTTAATCGTGCTGACTTTAAGCAATTCACTTGGAAATTTATACAATTAAAACAGTTATAAGGGTTTACTATATTTAAGTGCTAAATCGTGTTCGCTTTAAGCTATTTGTAGTGCTTTCAGTATGTGATACTGAAAGCATATAAAATACTCAGATTAAAGTATCTAAATGACCAAAATGCTATAAGACAATATTGCCTTTATTATAAATTTCTACTTTAATTTGAGTAAGTTTTATCCGTTGATATTTAAGTTATTATTCCAGCATTTCTACCATATTATTCTGGTTGTACAATTACAATAAGAAAAATTTAATTTAATATAAAAATAAATAAAAAAGTATCTTAAATAATAAAGAAATAGGTAAGAAATTTTTCAGAATTTATTAATAAAGGTATTTCGAATTAAAATCGTTAGGTTAAATATGAGCTCATAAAAACTTAACCAATAAATTAGATTTTTTTATGTAAAGTTGTTCATGGGAAAAGAGATCTTTAAAGTTATCAGTTATTCTATTTTAATAAAAAAAAAATAATGAATAAGCATTTTATATAAATTTCGACTTCTATTGCTGAGAATGTACATATATTAAATATTTTTTACGTAAAACATAATCCAGATAAAATTGTATACATATTAAAAACAACCTACGATGGTTCCACAAGCCTTACGGAAGAAGCCATAAATATGTTAATTTATATTAAGAAATATATTTCATATCCAAATAAAATTAAACAAAAAAAACAAAATTTATTAACTTCAACAGAGATATTTATTGGCACTACAACAATGCTTCTTATAAAATCTTATGATACCAGCAGTCCACCATATCTCAGAACTTATTCGATATTTTTAGCGATGTCACAAAATATAATATCGTTGTATCATTAAAATTATCTTCTTAGCGATAAAAACCAGTTTGGTGATGAAAACAAAATCCATCAGATAATTTTTTTTTTTTTGTCTTCTTAGAATTATGGTTTATAAGTCCATTTTTGACTTATATAAAGATAAACATAAGTAACATATTTCGTTTTATATCTCCGATATTCACCAAACGGACTTCATGAGTTTTTACAATGATCTATGGCCCAAATACTATACTCTGGATCGCATTAAATATATAAACCTCGAATAGAGATCTTTTGTCTTCGAATGTCATTCTTACTAAAGTTTCTGAAGCTGTCTTTCGAATAGAGGTTAAAGTCATTAAAGTCTCTACATGGATCATACTTAAAGGTTTAAAAGCGCTGATGTCTGTATTTGAAGAAATTGGCAAATATCAATCAAAATAATGTACGCTTAAATGGAAATACAAACAGGGTATTATTTTATTGGGTACCTAGAACTCAAGGATCTTGTGTCTACATACAATCTCACAAAAACAAGATTAGCCATTTAATTATATATAACAGTGCCTAATTTTAAAAGATTATTAACCCACAACTAAGTCTCTGATAGAAAAGTGCATTACATTCATAAGAATGTAATGCGATACTCCGGGTAACCGTCATGTCAACCATGGTTATGTGCTCCTCTTTAATAGAACAGATCTGTTAACAAATTAACTGAGTGATAATTATAATCTGAACTTTTCTCCCAACAAGATTGATTTATTTAAGAAAACAGAATATTAGCTCTGTTTGTAACAGATGAGATCTCCAGTTATGTTTATTGTGACTGTTGGGCTTTAATCTCATCTAGAATCAAAACACTAAGCTAGGATCTCCTTTTCTCGGCAAGTGACATTGCAATCTTGATTCGAACTGTTGAGTGTTATCTGTTCAGTTTCAGTAATTGGGCTATCGCCTCCGATTCTGGTACTGGGGATGCCAACTATTGATTCCAGACAAACGATTTATCTTGTGACAGTGCACTTTTTTAAAAGATTTGAGCGCTGCTTTTTGGCCGTTTATGGTTCTTTCGCCACAAACGCTTTAACAGATTCTTGTATTGGCCTGCAACTGCACCCACAACTTAGATTCTCAATTTATGTAGTGATTAGCTCGCGGGTAGAAATCTTTTTAAGCAGTGACCCTTCTGCCGGCTGTTTGGTCCGCGGGAAGAATTTTATTTCTCACTTACCACCTGAAAACAGGAAAGACATCTGCTATTCGCAACCTGCGGATAGCTTACTCTTAGGGGTTACAGCCTCTCCCGAGGAATATATATATAATACAAATATTTTGTCATGGTGCAAGTACGCTCCTGCGCTGGGAGCTCTCTTACCCTGTTTTTTATATTCATTTATTATAAATATTTTGTAGATTTGTAAAAAAACATAAATCAACCCCTGAAGAAGCTGATATAAACCCAATGAAACGTCAGAGAAAAATAAGAAAACAAAATAAGTCCAGAATTAACTAAAGTATATATACAAACATTTTTTTATAATATTCTTGAGCATTGTTGATGTACTTATTATTTACACTTAAGCTTCAAACTATTAACTTTTCAATACCTTTCACCATCTGTGGTCTCTTAATTTCTAATATTTTTTTAAGTAGACAAAATAAAATCTTACTACATTTGCCAGACAATATTATTGACCTCATCCAATGTTTACAAGGAAGAATACCCACTATAATACATATAGTATGTATGTATGTCTAAATTATTATTCCAGAGTATTCGTATATCTCCAAACAAAGCGAACTATATTGTTACAATGTTAGATATGTACGTCTTGTAAGCAATAAAAACTCATAAAAAAAGCATTAAAGTTTAAATAAACAAAATTTATTTGCGTTTATGTTTATTTTTACAATTGTGTAATGTTATGCATGTCATTACGATTAGAAGACCAAAGCTGAAGAAACCAATATAATTACAAATGAAGCAATATCGTCTTAACACCGCCGTCTTGCACTATGCACCCGAGCGCAAAGTCTGGATATTGTTAGCAAATGAGCTGGAGGAGTTGGAGCATTCCCTTTATTTGTCATTGTGTTTAGCGTATCCTATAACAGCTTCAACACTTCAAGAAGTCGTAATGCATTTGTAGACAGATTCTAATGAGTCTTCAATACAAAAACGTCTAATATCTGAAATAAAGTGTGGATCCACACCTTATAGCAAAGAAAATGAAAAGTGTTAATATTTTTAGTGTTCTTGCTTAGCCTTGTTAACACTTAAAGTCTGCTTAAATAATTTCATTAAATATTGAAACTTCATTTTTAATAGCAACAGTTGCAACTTGATGAATATTTATGATTCACATTCACGTTTATAGAGAAATAAAAGAAAAAATTCTTTGTTCTCACTATCCGCTAATTGACTTGAACATCTCTGCTTTATTTAATATTCCGTGTCTATGAGGTAATGGTCTTTACCTCATAATGTTAATATCACATGTATTCTTCTTATTCTTCTTATTGATGTATCGTTAGTCCATGGAAATGGAAAGTGTTGATAAAATTTATGTCATGGTTTGGTTTCCATTTGTTTAGATTTTTCTTTATCAATTTTATTTTTGTTTTTTTTTTTGTACCTTTTAAAATTTTACAGATACGGTTGATTACGTTTTTTACATCATAAAATTATTTATACTTTTAATTTTTTTTTCTTACCCGACATTACTTGTAATTCAGTTTTTCTTCCAGTGCTATAAAACTTTATACCTACAGATACTTCTTAAAGGTTACTAACAGACAAATCTCGTAACTAATTATTTATGTTGAAGCTATTTGAGCTAGTGAACTTGAGCACTTTTACTCTTTCTTAACTCGAGGTATCTTCAAAACTCCATTTTACGCCTTGAGTGGATTATTGTTTATCACTTCATTAGACTAAGCAATAATTGACCTCAGATCGGCATATGTACCTCCCTGAGAAGCCTGTAACCATTCTAAGATTCGATAATGCGGTGTTGGTAAATCTGTCAGTTTTCGCAAATAATTTCAGAGCTCTATCCTTTATGCATTTTTTGATCGGATCAATCTTGAGGTCCCTAAGAATGTCATTCGTCCTAATGTACCATGGTACCTTGATGTTTAATGGCATAAATCAGAAATTTAATTCTAATTAAAGTAAATAAATTTATTTTATTGCACTCATTAATTTATAGTTTTTATTTAAATTATTAAGCTTAAACTTATTAATTTAATTATCAATATAATTTTAATTAAAATAAGTAGACAATTTATTAACATCGCTAAGAAAAATAGAATGAAAATATATGAAACTATTTTTTGAACTTTTTTGAAGTAGTTTTTTGAAGTAGTATTTTATGTCAGGTTCGCCAAGTCAAGAATAGATGCATGTTTGAAGTAATTCCATAGTAAAAAATTGAAACCACGTGGATCTCAAATTGTTTTCCGAAATGCATATCTCAATCCATTTCATTTTCAAAGTGCATTGCAGAAATGTTTTTTTTGTTTTTTTTTTATTTTAGAACATGCGAACAGCAGGCGTCATACTTGCTGTGCTTGATATAAGCTCCATGGTGTTGGTGTTCCCGATTTCCGTCTTGTATTTATTTACATATTGGCTTAAAAATCTTTCAGTTTTCGTATAAATATTTATTTAAATGTACAGCCTTATGTTGAAATAATAAATTAGTCAACATACTAAATGATTTGGGAAAACATAAATGTTGTTGGACCGACCACACATCTTCTATTCGATTTGATTTATATAGCTTAATTAGAGCAGTTGCATTAAATCAATGCAACCAATGAAAAATTTACATAATCAACACATCATTTATATATATCGTTTTATTTTTATTTTAGATTTCAAGCTGGTTCCATTTACACATACATCGGGGAAGTATGCGTCTCTATGAATCCATATCGTCAAATGAACATATACGGACCTGAAACGATAAAAATTTACAAAGGTCGAGAACTTTTTGAAAATAAACCACATATTTATGCTACTGCAGATGCTGCGTACCGAGTGTTAAAACAAAGGCATCAAGATACATGCATATTGATTTCTGGTGAATCTGGTGCTGGTAAAACCGAAGCCTCCAAAATTATTATGAAATATATTGCTGCTGTAACCAATGTACAAGGACAAAATGAAATTGAAAGGTGATTTATACTATTGCATTTCATTCGAAAATATTGTTCATTATTTACCATAACTATATATACTTCATTTTTTTATATAAAAGTACTATAATATCCATAAGTAATTAGAAAGCAATTTATTAAAACAAATTTATTTGCTAATTGGCATCTTACCTAATTAGCAAAATTATGTGTTTTGAAAAGCGATATTATCTCTTTGAGGGAATAAAAAGCACAAATAGATGTCACGATAATAGACATCATTCCCTGTAATGGAAACGTTTTCAATAAAATAATGATTGGATTGGATAACTTTGACAGTCAAAAATCTGAATAGAACAGTAAATATTTTTAATAGACATTTTTATTGAATATCTTTTGAATTTTGTTAAATTCAGTTGGATCAATTATGCATTTAGCAAATATACGGCACTATAAGTGATCAATAAACTCCAAATCCTTCATTAGTTCGTGTAAAGTAAATTTTTTAAAGACAATACATTGAGTGATTCACTGAAACACTACAACAGTTATGTACATCGACAATAACAAACGTTGTCTGTACCTCCTCCACAATATCTTCTGCAGAAATAATATATGTCACGATTTAGATTTGTCAGGAACACCTATTTGACAACGGCTAAACACAACTATTTTGAACAACTTTTTCTTCCACTATATCTACTAAAATCCTTTAGTAGCTTTTAGTATATATGCCGCGCATATGCTGGACAGAAACAAAGTAGATGGGAAGTATTTTCGTCTAGAGAACATATTAGAATCTAAAAAATATATTCATTCAATTTTTATGCAAATCAATGCTCATGGATATATGCTATTGCTGATTAACTTTTAATTTTGTTTTCATACTGATGCAGTATGAATAGTTATTTTATTTCCTTTTTTTAGTGCAGTTAGCTAACGCTTTGTCTGTATTTTAGTGCATTCAGGTGGCACCCTGACTGTGGAATTTTTTTTTGTTAATTCTTTAATATTTTAATGTAATCAATTGACACTAAAAGTTTATTTTAATATATATGTTCATTGATGAGCTAAGTTGAGCACTGACTGGATGCATTACCTGAAAAGGTTAAATTCGTAAATGAGGTTATGAGTTAAATTGAATATTAAAATTTATATGAAATGTTCGTTACTTTTAAATCAAATCAGTATCTTTTTATTGTCATTCATTAAGCCTCTTGTTTTTTTTTTTTTTTTAATTTTTTTTTTGTTGTAATTTGCTTTAATATAAAGTGTAAAATGTCTATAATTTTATTATTATTATTATTTAAATTAAACAATAACATATGTATTTCAACATATTTATTATTTTTTAATTATAATACTAATATTTGTGTGTTTTCTTTTGTAAAATTTTTACCGTTTTATATTTCAAATAAACTAAGATAAAATTAATTAACCAAAAGTCTAACAATAATAAACCAAGCTTCCGTGAGAATCTTTTTTCCTCTCCAACAACGAATCATTGAATTTATACGGTATTGCTCATTAAATATCGTAATCAAAAATGAATTCAAAGTATTGTTTATAAAAGACTAATTCACAGCTAAAATAAATACGTTGAAGATTTTAATAAAAATGAGTAATTACGAAATAACGTGTGATAAATAGTGTTGATGAGTTCATTTTATTGAAAGAAAACTCGCTAAATAAATTATTATTAAATATTAAATATTATTAAATATCAGTATTAAAAAATTCCCAACAGTCGCTCAGGAGTAATAAATAAATTTTTATTGGTTTTAAATTTATTTTTTATTATACAATATAATTGTTTTTAAAACTATATATCAAATATTAAAGGAACAATTTATAATATTGTATATATATTTAAAAATTTACCAAGGACTAACCAACTAAATGTAATATGTTGGATGTTCTTTTTTAACTTGAGTTCAACTATACATAAACCTAATGTTTTATAGTGAAATAAAGATTAATTACATCGATTTAAAATTTTACATTCTTATTGGGTAATTTAATAATATTCAATATATGATTATCAACATCATCAACAGGGAATATGTACTCACATTTTGTGGTCCATGGATTTCTTCGTTCCAAGTACAGATATACCATAGTATTTGCAGTGAATCTGGATGAAGTTTAATAATATCGAATGAAGTTTAATAAAGCTTTTTGCTGCTTTCACAATTAGCTGGAAAGTAATTAAATAATAGCGTATATATCTACAAAATATTATTTATTTAAATTTTAATATTTGAGTGACAACAGTGATGGAACAACAAGATCTATGAATATTTTAAAATAGTCTTCTAAGGACCAACTCTTTGGAAAAACAACTTCCACCAATCTACTATTGTCAATCCTTAACCATAAATAATAATTAGTATGTGCTTTGAAATATTTTATTGACCGACCCAAAAATCACTATAGTGGTATTCACACTGCCTTGCAAAGTCATTGAATGGTGATCGAAATGCAAGAATACTACCTTCTCCTCAAAAAGTATCCGAATTTTGTTGTTTGTTAACTACTCCTTAAGTAATAGACCTTTTTTAAAAAAATTTTTTTTGTTATGTTGGTACACCCTTTCTTGACATATGGTACAAATATGAGCGCCATCTGTCAAGTAGTTTGTTTACAGCAGCTGTTAATTTGAGACTACCCAAAGTGCATTTAGCGATTCTTATTATGGAAAACTCTTGTTGTACGCGATTTTTTGACCAGACACGGCACCACTGTCATCGCTCAGGCACCATATTCGTCAGATCTGGATCCGTGTGACTTTCTTCTGTTCTCGAAACTCAAATTACCCCTTCGTGGTAAGCGTTTTGAGTCGATTGAATCGGTAAAAGAGAATTCGCTGAAGGAACTAAAAGCCATACTTTCACGGGCCTACCAAAAATGTGTATGGAAGATTGGGTTAAGCGTTGACATATGTGTAGCGCTTCAGAAGGAGCATATTTTGAAGGAGATAAAATAAATTTGGAATAAAATTTAAATTTGTGTGTTTTATTTACAAAATTCGAGTAATTTTTGAGCAGAAAGTATACCAAAATTACTAGAGTGCTACATAAAATTCGCGAATTGATAGTCTTTAATATTTTTTAAAGTAGTTTCGTTCCTTTATAAATATAAACAATTTTTATTATTGCCAATAACACCGAAACTCAAATTTGAGAATTTTCACATCATCATTATCACGATTATAGGCTATTATTATTATTATTTGCTAGATTTTACTGTCTTTCCCAATGTCATCTACTAAGTATTGTAACAGCTTGTAAAATTGTTTAAATAAAATTTTTCATTGCCATTCACTGTATGTTTACCAGAAGGCACTTTGCACTATATTAATTGCACTACACACCCAAATTGGGGAAGCGCGTCAATATTTGCGTCCTTCCAAGCTCTTCCGCTCATCGACGTAGTCGTAAATTCTTTCAATAAATATTTTGCTGCGGCTATGAGAGTTTAAACTTCGTTAATTGTTGTACACGCAAACTTCATTTTTTTAATTGTTTCCATATCCCAAACCCAGCCCATTTCGATAACAGTTCCTTGTAAGAACTCGTACTTTTTCCAACTAGCCTCTTCCCTTTTGGATACTCCAAATGCACATATAATTTTTATTGTCTCCTTTAAGTTCTTCAAACAAAGCAGGCGGTCAGTTATAAAAAGTATTTAATGGCAATTTTACGGTGAACTCATCAAAAATTGTAATCAAATTAAATTATTTTTATTATTTTTCTAAATGCTATATATTTAATTATATATAATTTTTAATATGTTTTAAGTAAGGATTTATGACGAAAAAAAAAAACTTCAATAAAAGATTGATACATTAAATCCGATTCAAATCATTATGTGCTCCACTACATATTTTACCTATATTGAATTACTATTTTAACTGAGGGCTTTGCAACTTGCGTTTTAAATATTATATACAGATACGTATATTACCAATTTATGACAGGTGATATATGTCTTGAAATAATTTTATATCTAAGAAATAGTTTTAGCACACCTATAATTTAATAAAAAAAAAATAACTATGCTTTAATATAATTTGAATGCAAAATTATGGTTTCAATAACCACTTCTGGATAATAAAAAATCGATTTGAATATAAATTTGATTTGAATTATCCGAAAATAGTTTTTTAAAAGAATTGAACTATTCGACTACTTTCGATCGGGAAGACATTTGAATATTTGCAATAAAAAAAAAAATCAAATCGAATGGAACGTTATGTAATTGCACATTATAATTTAAATGCTTATATTAACTGTATTTCATCTCTATAGAGTGCAATGAATTCTTATATAGTTAATATAGTTAAAGTGCCATAATATAGCACATTTGTGCTTTTAGTATAGCATATTTATATTATTAAAAATGTTTTTAGTATGTTTTTAATATATGAAAAACTATTTTAAATGTGAAAGTCGTTTCTAGAAGGAGTATATAAATTTTTTTAGATAAATTTTTAAGACCAGAGAATGGAAACATTTATCAGCGAAAATGTTGCGTAGTGCCAAATGAAGTTGTTTCTAAAATATTTTTTGAACCCCTTAATTTAAAAGCGATGATAGAAAAATCGAGACATTTATGTACATTTCTAATTAACCAATTTAAAAATTCTATACACTACATAACATAAAGAAGAAAAGTGCATTTGAACACTTTTACTCTCTATTAACTGCGAGGTTTCTTCATAAACTCTCTCTACGCCTTGACTGAATTATTGTTTATCACTTCATCAGACTAAGCAATAATTGACATCAGATCTGTACATTTCCCCGAGGAACCTGTTACCATTGTGTTGGTAAGCCTGTCAGTTTTCATAAATAGTTTCAGGACTCTATCCTTTATGTATTTTTTCATCAGATCAGTCAATCAATAAAACTTTATAAATTACTGCTTTACATTCATTAAAGAAGCGTCAAATTCTGTGAAATTGCTTATATATAATGATATGCTTCAAGTATCTAACATAACCATCAATCGATCATAGCTCTCGCAGTAATTCTTTAATCAAAAGCAGTGATTCCTTGCTCATTAGTGTTATTATTTTCAAGATCGTCTAGTGATAACAACGAAAATTGAAGGTATGAATTAAACAAAAATTGAAAAGAAAACTAACAAAAACCAACATACATTTTTACTTAAATTCGGATATAGTACAAAGTAACTAGTTTTTAATCTAGGTCCGATAGATGTCATTGACGCTATTTGGTTGTCACTAAAGCCCTGTAAATCCAATGCAAAAATTATTATACCGCTGCAACTTAAGTATTCATAAAAAACCAAAAGTTCATAATTTTAAACCATAATATCTCGTAAATCGAACTATATCGACATATAATTGTTAAGGCTTTTAACAGACTCTACTACAGTCCGTTATTAAATCGGCATGTCTCTAAATTCCGAACAAATAAATCACACAATTCTGCGAAATCGTATAGCAAAAGGGAACCAACACACCCGCACACTTGAGAAACATTTGTGCCAATAGGTTTTCTTTTACTTAATGGAAATCTGATACTAAAATATTCATATATATCAAAGCCAACATATCAAAGCCCTTCTAACATTACAGGCGGAGCTTGACGTTAACAATGTTTTTAGTTGCGTTTACACTTATCCCAAACTTGAAGCTAGAAATGTCTTTTGTTTTGTGTAATCGTGTAAAATATTTTGTGTAGTGGAATATAAACACACAAAGGTTTTTCACAAAAGTGAAAAAGTTTCACTCTCACACTCTTTTCTACCTCTATTCCATCAGAACCAATTTCAAGTACCAAGCTCTCGAGAGAGTGAATAGGCCAGGCTCGCTAACTCTTACAACTGTAGACGCTCACAATAAATCTTTTATAAATGGTTTTCTGAATTATATTCGGTCCTTCGTAGTAAAAGCGGCTTTTTCTGACTTTTTCACTATTACAAAAACGTAGTAAAGGACATTATGTCTTATTGTTGTTAGTTTTATTACTTATAATTCTATTACTCAGGAACCAGAAAAAAATACTCCAAAAGTACTTCAACTGTTTTTAACACCCCGCATAAATATGGAAAATACGATATATTGTGGAATTATTGATATTTTTTTAATTGGATCTATTCAGATATTTATAATTTATAACTCTGCCGTATAAATGTGCCTTCATAAACTTCGCCCAGGATCTTCCATTTGCTTATTTCGCTACTATATAGTGTGATTGTTGATTGGCTTGTTGTATTGCTTAGTTAATATTTTTGTATTAAACTACTTTCATCTTTTTCTTTAGATAAAAAACTAGTTAAAAGACTAGAGCAGAATTATGCCAAAATAAAATTTAAAAAAAAAGAAATTTAAGTTATTAATTTGTTTTTATATTTTGGTAAATCAATTTAACTATTTTTATCTCTATAAATACCATAGTTAGTATTTACCTACCCATGAGCGACTGTTTTCTGCTCATGAACAGGCAACAAGTTCTTTTCATACGATTGCTCATGCACACGAGCGAGTCAAATTACAGAAGCTCACGGTCATGTGCAAGAGCAGTCATTAAGTTATAAATTGGCTCACGCTCGTGAACAAGAGTTCAAGCTGATGCTCATGAGCTGATGCTCACGCTGCTTACAAGAAGATGCTGCATGCTAGAAAATGAAAAATATATGGCATTGTTGTTGTCGTGTTCATTACACAATTTGGCACGTGCCACTATTTATTTGAATTTTGTACGTTTACTTAATTAGTCGTTTTATATTAATTTAAGAGTTAAAATTTATATTATATAGTGTTTCGGAAATAATTGGCTTAGAATACGAAAAACAAGTGTAATAAATTTTACATGCCTTAAATGTAATAAAATACTAGTTGGCTAGTAAGCTCGCTTTTTAGTTGAGCTCTCGGCATGCGAGATCTCATGAGCAGCTCTTCAATATGAACAAACTGAAGTCTCACGCTTATGAGCAGCTCTTCAATATTAGCAAATTTTAGGCTCACGCTTATGATCAAGTCTTATGCTCACGTGATAATTAGTTCTTGCTCAAGAGTGTGAGCTGCTCATGAGTAAGCAAATACGAACTCTGATAAATACGCAATATTCATAATGAAAACAAAAATATTTCCATTTTAAGGTGTTATTATTATTTAATCATATTATTTATTACAAAATATTATATACTTGGAATCAAAGATTGTTTATAATTTTACTTTAGATAAATGTGGATAAATTTGATGATTTAGCTGTTGTAATCAAACACCACAAATCTAGAAATACCTGTCCCACGCTTTAAGCTGTCAATTGAAAGATATAGTAATTTTTTTAAAATAAAATATTTATATTTACCCGACATTCCCTACTGCAATACACCTGCTTTCGACATCCGTCACCAACAAAAATTGTGGACTTACATTCATGGCACACATCATTATCATTATTCATTTCATTTCCTGAAAGCCGTGGTGCAGTATTCTAAAATTTTATATATAGTTACAATTTTACAATTTTCAGTATTGGAATGCTTTTGATACTACCGTGTGCGAACGAATATTATTATAACGTCTTGGGAAGTATGGAATATTGTTTGACATAGACACATTTTCCGACTCATAGTGAGAAATTTGCATTCGGTAATTGTTTTGATAATCCTGATTGATTCCTGATTGACTTTTACATATGCCTAAGTTTCTATTTAAGTTGTACGAAAAATTTGCCAAATAGTCTTCATTATATGACTTATTATGTGTTGGCATCTGAAAAAATGTGCAAAAAGATAAAATTTTGAAATATTTAGCAAAAAAAATTAACCTACACTATCGGGAAAATCGTGATACTTAAATTTCTTTTCAGGTTGTGGTTTGTTCAGATTCTGGTTTCGATAGTTATCAATTAGGCGAAAAGGTCCCTGTCGTCCCACATTTGGTTTTGGTCGCAATTCTAAATACTGTTGATTTTCAAAATATTTTGGAATTCTCAACAAATTTGGAATATTTTTAACTTTAGCACTTGCGTTACTATAGTTTGCATTTTGAGCCCTATCCAATATATTTTCCGATTGAAGTTTACTATAATAGATTTTATATAAAAGAATTGTATTAAGATGTAGATTAACTTCATTTTTAAAATAGAAGTTACCTGTACAACCCACTGGTGTTAGGTCGTTCCTTTTCCAATTCAACTGTTCCCATGTTTGCAACACATTCAACTGAATCTTTCGTTGATGTGGACTTTGCTTCTTCAGCAGAGCTTGTGTTTGAAGCACCAGATTTTGTATTTTGAGATTTTTCTTGCATTAAATTTTTTTGTTTTTCTCTTTCATATAGATACATATATCCTTCCTTAAGTTGTTTGAAGTAAAATAGTCTCTCAATTTCATTTTTTCTTGTCTCAATTAATTCATTTACTGTATCTATCTCGGTAGCTAAACGCCTTATATGGCCATCGACATTTTCGCCGTTTGAATATATATAATTTATATAAGTTTTAAGTGTCTGATCGTTTTTTGCAAACATTTCGTCAATTTCACTATAGAATTTATCTTGTGAGTTAATGTTTTTATCTTCATTTGAATGTCCATTAGATGGTGGCGAAATGGATCGTAAACGCTTTTTAGAACCTTGCACATTATCATTTGAAACGCTGTGGTTATGTGATATTTTTGATTCTATGTTGTTCTAGAAAAATGTAATATTTTTGCTAAATTTAAAAACATTAAATTCAATATAATTATTTTTTACCATTTTTATGTCACCACTTTTTGATTTTATATCGTCTAATTTAATATCATTACTTTGTGCTGGCTGCATAACCTCATGATTGGTTATATCCTCCACCTTTTCTTTGATTTTTGATGTTTTGATAATAGAAGCGTTCCCATTTTCTAAACTTATAACGCTACTAATAACAATGTCACTATGCTTCATATTCTCTGAATCTTCTGAAAGATCAACTACTGCTTCTTTATCATTTAATCTGATTGTGTTCTTCTCTGAAGAATCATTTCCATTCAATACTTCCTCTACGAAATGCTGAAGTTTTGCTTCTTTATCATTGAATCTGATTTTGTTCTTCGGGTCATTAACCTCATTTGGAAACAGTGATAAACTACTACTTTTAATTTCAGGCGATTGCAATGTCTTCATATTATCTGAATCATTTCCATTCAATACTTCCTCTACGAAATGCTGAAGTTTTGCTTCTTTATCATTGAATCTGATTTTGTTCTTCGGGTCATTAACCTCATTTGGAAACAGTGATAAACTACTACTTTTAATTTCAGGCGATTGCAATGGCTTTATGACAAGGCAAAAGCTTCTGAAAATCAATTATTATTAAAAATAAAATTGTGATCAAAAACAATATAATATTAACTATATAGTATTAACTAATATAATATTATAATATTATCAATAATATTAACAATATAATAACTAACCCTTTTTTCTGCGATTCAAAACACTTTCTGGCATCGTCCATTTTTTTTGCGTGACATTTTTTTTTGTTATTAATTGACTCAGTGTGTGCCTCAGAATTTGAAGTATTTTGCAGACTTGTAGCCCCATCCATTAAATCGTCTTCGTCATTGCTGTACTCATCACTACTTGTTACATATCCGGGACTATTAAGATCCATTTTAGCAAATCCAACGAGAATTTTTTATATATGCGTCTTATAACTTTTGCAACTTTGAATCAAATCGAGACAATGTCGAGTAACAACGCGACCTCTTTGCAGTCGGAATATATTTGCAAATATTGGATATGAAAAATACAGCATGACTCTCATATCCAATTTTATACAAAATTTATCGATTAATTTAAAGTAATTGTTACATTCATTCATAATATACAGCGGTCAAAAAAAGTATTCGTCATTAACTAAAATTTTATAAAATGCTTTAAACTTCTCTTCCTTTACGACCCATTTTGGAAATATCAAGATAATACTGCAAAAAATACTTCATAATAAGGAGCCAAACGCTGCTTTCTTCATAGAAAATATAAAAAATGGGCTTTCCCCGTTTTTGCATAACAGAGTTATAGCATTTTATAAAAATGTAGTTAATGACGAATACTTTTTTTGACCACTGTAGGTATTTTAAGGACAGATTTACTAATAATGCATTCACATGAGAGTTTTAATTGTAATTTTCGCTGCCATTTCGAATTATTCTTGATCTCGAGAGCTAAAAAAGTGAAAAGTAAAAAGATTTGTATGAAAATATTGACATCTGATTTCTATATCATCGTAATTTCTGCAAAATGAATTTGATTTTAACTTGAATAGTTTACTGTAGTACAGTACTATACAGTACAAATTTCAAAAGCTTACATATATGCTTTGAGGTCTCATATACATATATGATAATATGTTGTAATATATATATAACATAATTTATAAAAGTATTAATATAATATAATGCATAATAATAGTAATAAGAGCTGCTATAAATTTGCTTATAATTTCGTTAGCTATTAAAATTGGAGAGTACTTGTGTTCGCAATGTGTCTATCAAAAAGTAGTATATTGGTAAAAAATTTTATCAAAAAAAATATTTTTTATATAATAAGATAAATTAGAAATATTATTTACTAAGACAATTATATCCAAAACTGAACAATTTGACATAATTTTTACCATTCCACAGATATAGAGTTCTGTATAGTGAATACCTAAATTCTAACTTAAAAGCGAAAACATATTTCTAAATCGGCGTGTCTATATATGAGCTATACCTAAATATTAACTGCATTCTTTAAATTATATTAAAGTTCCAAATATAAAGTACATATATCATAAAAATTTTTTCTGATAAAAACATGTGTCTAAATCGACCGATATATGGTGAATAAAGTAATGTACATTCTTATATATAAATGTAAATGCTTTCTGTAGAAAATATTATTTAAAAATCTTTGTAAGAAACGGAAAAAACTCATATTCGATTGTTCAGTTTATATGACAATCATAAGATATAGTGGTCCACTTAATACCAATCCGACAAATGATCAAAAACCACTTACGGAAAATATGTATGCATAGCTTCATTGGAATAGCATAACAAAGTAATGGACAGACAGAGCTAAATCAACTCAACTTGTCAAGATGTTGAAGAATATATGTATATACTTTAGAAGGTCTACAATAATTTCTTTGATGTATTATAAAAATGTTGACTAACCTGACATACCTTTTCTAAACTATTTTGCAAGTGGTATTAATATATAAGTATAACATATAGATATATCTTTGTATAAAGACATAACATTAAGTTCTTCATGTTTAATAGATTAATTGTCTAAACTGAAAAGCTCTTTATAGCAATTCTAGAGGCAAACTGCCACGTGAGTCTCTGGATAATAACAAGACTTTTAATTAGTAACTAATTAATTAATTTCTAATACGACAGGCACGAGTTCTAAGACTGACATTTGCAGTCTGTAGATATACTCTTAAATTAATTAAATAAAAATTCGAATATTTCCTAAAATTACTATTAATGAGTATTTGACAATATTCAAAACAGCTTTGTATGGTCAGCCAAATTTCCAAATTTGTTGTTGTTTCTTCATTACTGTTCGAACCCTTCTATGACTTTTAATTGTTAGTATGTATAGCTTTGCGCTTAGTCGTTTCAGAAATAATTATCATTGGATGCATATATAATATATTTGTGTTATTAAGGAAATGTTCTATATACTTCTATATACATGTTGTAGAACAGTAGGTATGACTTCTTTGATTTCAAAACAAAATGATACAATATTAGGTATTAAACATTACCTATATATTACAAATTCTTTCAATATAAGAACAATAGGTCAGTATGATAAGTGTCCGATTTTAGTTTCTTTTAAATAACTGACTTTTATTACTAGAATTTTTTTGAAAATATACAAACTCCTTTTTATTAATAATGAAATATAAATAGTATTAAATAATAATTAATCTGTATTATGTATTCTCTTTCAAGGGTTAAAAATGTCTTAATACAGAGTAATTCCATTTTGGAGACCTTTGGAAATGCAAAAACAAATCGTAACGATAATTCAAGTCGCTTCGGCAAGTATATGGACATTGAATTCGATTATAAAGCGGATCCTGTGGGCGGTATCATTACAAATTACTTGCTGGAAAAGTCGCGTGTGGTACAACAACAATCAGGAGAACGTAATTTCCACAGTTTTTATCAGGTACTTTTTTTTCATTAAATTGTTTACTTGGCTAAGGTGTGGTGAACACATCATTCCAATCAACATTTTGTTGTGCTAAGTACTTGCATTCTATAATTTTTGCTATGTGAATTTATAGTGCGAAAATATTATATGATGAATATTATTTTCTACAAATTCCCTACACGTAAGGTTTTTTTATTCTCTAGAAACTAAATGAAACGAAAAAAAATATGAAAACTGATAAGAGTGCTAGCATTCGAAAGCAATGGGCAGGAACTATCACAAAAGGAAATTAACTTATCAGAAAAGAATTTAAACTTTGCTGATAATATTTACATAAACGATAAACGTAACTGATTGCAAACGCTATAAAAAAAAAACCTAAAAATAATTTATTCACATAAGCATTTATGGACAAACATAGAATATATTTTATATATGTATTCTAAAGCTTTTATTGGCATATAACTCCAAATCCTATTTAATTATATTAAATAAGTGCATCTTCTCTTTGGATAAACTTATTTCTAAAAGACTTATAGTTTTCAGAATTATTCAATCATTAACTCTTTTTGCATATATTACATATGTATATTTATTACAAGAGTCACTATATATTTCTCAGCACTGGTAATTAATGCTAGGTGGCACTTGACCTTATACCACTGGAAAGTTTAAAATTTTTGACTACATCCGAGTACATATATGTATACATATATACATATTTATATTATTTACAGTGAAAGATTTATTTTAGGTTTATTTTTTACTACGACTTTCGAAATCGAAGGTCCAAAAGTAGAGTATATCCATATACTTACACACACTTATACTTTTGTCACTGAAGCCCCTTTTATTGCAATTTATGAGACATGAAGCTTTTCTTAAATCATTTAGTGTTGTTTAAAACATTAATGCTCTACAATCATCAGCAATTCGATGTTGAGTATTCCACCCATTACTCTATGGGTTACTTGTATATCGAGTTTATACCGGAATGAGAGTTATTTCAAAGTGCTTTGTAAACAATATTAAACTGCCCTTCGTGGCTATAGTTAGTCACATGTCGATGTTCCTCAACCTTATGCATAGATTGGGCAAAAGGAAAGGAACACCTTTCATAGCATTTTCTTTGTTTACTTGTAAATGCTGTTGAAGCGGTTGATTATGTTGAAAAACTGTCGCCTTCAATAGCATATATATGTGTTTATTTCTATACCATATTCTTCTGTTTATAGTAGTGTGAAGACCGCTACCGTCATTGAAGACCGCTACCGTTATCTCTGTTAAATCGGTATAAAATAACCGCTTAATATGACGATACAAAATCACATATAGCTATATCTCTTCATCCCTGTTCATTAAAAACCAGGTGTGGTTGATAAGAAATATGCCAAATGAGCAACTATTTAGAAATTTTATAAAAGCTGGAGAATTGTCTTTAAGGATGAAAAATCTTTTCGATGCGGAATCTATATTTTACTCGAAAAAATTTTAAAGTTCCTGATGGGTAATATTTTTAGCAAAGAATTTTTTTGCTAACAAAAATATGAACTCTGGCCGGAAACTTATATATACCAATATTGTTTTTTAATAAATTCAATAGTTCGAAAAAAGACTGAGTTATTAGTTATAGTTTAGCACAGGGACCATTTTAACTATTATCATTTTAGAATGATAATTTTGTTTTGCATTATTCCCCTATACAAGTTTTTGGTTAAACTGATTTGCAATAAACCCATAAACTTTTCAAAAAGATTTTACGATAAAAAATGAGGCTATTTTCTTATATCAAAAGTCGTGTCCTACAAAACTGCAACTTTCTTTAGTTAGTTTAGCTTTTAGACGTCATTTCCAACATTCCCGTCTATCAGACTTTCGTATAATAAGTTCAGGTTTGTGAAAATTTTAAGAAGCAATCGAGTCCATACAGTTAGGCTACTTGTAATTATTGCAGATCACATATACCTATATAGAAATTCCAACTATGAAACTACAAATTGCAACACTCATTATAGAACTCGTGGAAACTTAAAAAAAAAGTAACTATTACACACCAAGGCTGGTTGCCAAAATGAATAAAAAGGAAAGTATAATACCTTCTTAACAGTCTGTCGTACTGTTCTTTGGTAAGAACAGAAGAACTGTTAAATTAAATGACCTCAATAGTATGAATTTGATCATATTAATAAAGGCTTCTTAAAAAAAGTGTATGATATTTTGAGAATTGAAATGACATCTGCTAATCAGCCAAAACTTTTTTACTTCTCCAGCTTTTTAACAATAATTTATTTTAATATCTATCAGATATAAAGCTGTAAATCAACAGTAATTGTAATACTTTTTTTTTTTGGTTTTATATACAATAAAATTACATTTATTTATTTTACTATTAACACCTTCATACCTAATGAATGCAATTTACCGGCTCATTAACTCCTCACTGAAGTATAATGTGGGTTTATCAAAAGATCTGCAATGTGGACGTTAGCATCTATTTATTCCCCTTCTTTTTTACTTCATAGTTGCTTGCAATCACTTCATATATGACACTTCAAAGCAATACTACATCCATTGAAGTGCAAACAAAATTTATTTTAATTTATGATATCATATTTTATCATCCGCTTTCGAGTACTGTGTGCGTAAGACAATACTTAAGCACTTACTTAAATGGTTAACTATAAAATAAATTAATTGTATAATTTAGTACATGAGTTCTTTTAATTAAAAATATTTTAAAAAAAATTACGATTTTTTTGAGTGTTTCGTCGTATGACTAATCACTCACACAACACATTAATCTCTTAAGATAATAAATAATTAATAATAACATAATAAAAAAATAAAAGTAAAACTTTTTTAATTTTATTTGAAATTATTTTTATTATTTGAACAAATTAAATCCATAACAGTTTTTGAAATTCAATAAAAATAAAATTTAATTTATGTCAATAGCTAAAACCTTAGAATTATTTATGATTACTAATAACTATAATTAAAAGACTAAAAGCATATATAAAAAGTTATAGTCTACTTCAAGCTAATAGAACTTTATACTTAAAATGTAAATAACTCCCATTAAAAACATAATCATTTGTATAAGGCGTAGCGCATTTAATATGTTTTTGGTAATTCCTAAACTTTCCTTTATAGCTTCAATTAATTGATCACTTATTATGCCCCACTATTCAATAATCACAGTTGAAGCTACAGTCAAGTAGCTTCAAACTATAACTATACATAAACAGATATCCTCACTGTCGTAAATGCAAATAGAAATTTCTCAAACAAGAGTATTATGATAGAAAAGAGTCGGTACCAACAGAAAGTTGAACTCATGTGGATTACCGATCATGCTAGTATCGTGGGTAATATAAAAGCTGATAAAAAATTGCCATATTCCTATACAGTACAAACACCATTACTGAAAATAATCATTCAAGAATAACAGAGTATCCTCTATCTATCCCCAATACTCTAAAATAAACTCATATAGTATTAAGCCCCAACTGACCGCGAAATAAATTAAAAACCTGCACCCATTTCCACCAGAGACATTGTAAAGTGACTCATTACCTAAAAAAGAATTCATGACAAATTCCCGTGATTTTTGTCAACACTGGAACAGGGTTAAGAAAGCAAATTACATACAATTACTAAAAAATTCTTTAATTCAAAGTCTTCATAATGGTACCTCGAGTTATAGAAGTTATAGTGTATATATATATATAAATTCCTTTAACTCCTAGGAGAAGCATAAGGCCGCTGTTGTGTATTATCACTCACTGTAAAAATCGAAATAAGGTTTTTAGTTTCCAATAATAGCTCTGATATTATACAGAGTATAATGCTTTCCAAAGACCGCAATATCAAGTATGTGATTATAACTGGTATATGGCTCAACTATAGTCAAAGGTGAAGAATTTCGTTAATTATTTTAATTTTTTATTCTAATCAGCTATAGATGAATATAGTACTGTAACATACAATACATAATTTATTCTAATACAACATTTTATTTACATTTTAGGAAATACTGTTACACTCTTGTTTATTTTCTTGTACTCAGTATTCGTTTAATAAAATGTACCGGAAAGCCTTTTTTGATCTAACCGTTCCACTAGTTAATATTCTTTTTACAATTTTAGCAATGTTTTTTTCTTTTTACAATTTTTAAATTGTTATAAATATTTTAGTATTTTGTTTTTTTTTTGTATGAAAACTACAAATGTACGTACCGATCTATATCCATATTTCCACCGCCTATTTACCATATTAATATTATGTGAGTACATGTTGTTTTGCGGTCATTTACTCGAATTGCAATTTAATATGCCAGACACTTTTCGCTTCAATTAAAAGCGGAAATGGAACTATGGCCAGCAGACCATCGCTGAAAGCTTTTTTGTCCATTAAAAACATTTTAATTATTATTAACAACAAATTAAAATGGTAAACGATATTAATTTTTTTTTTTCTTTTTATAAAAATGGTTAGATTTATTTGTATATGTATATAGGCCTAACGCTTTCCCAGTGTGAAAAATCCAAACAGACTTACAAGTTGCTAACCTATAATCTAGGTATAGGTATTGATAACCTATATACGCTTTTCATTACGATTTATGGATTTAATGTACCTTTCTGGTTTGCAGAAACATTGATAATATAAAACTATTAAAATATATCAAAAATTTTTTTTTATTTTGTTTTTGCAAAAGCCTTCACAAATTGTAAATAAAAAATTTTATTAATCAACAAAAGAGGGAATGTCTTCTAAATCACAAATCATCTTAAACAACTCTTTTGAGTGTACATATATCGGTACACGTTGTCTTTGCTTGATATTTTTAAGGAATAATATTTTAGATACTTTTGCATTATTCTAATAAAATCTGGGCCATGCCAAATATTGCTGTTCTCTGAACACAATCACAAGGCAATGGGCCTAAGTGGATCCCCTAGAGATCGCCGGTATAACCTTCCCTAACCTAATAATCCTTGATATTTTTACATATAGTAAGGAGAAAACACACATACAATAATAACAAAAATGTTTTATCATAGTCGTAAGTTCATAAGGAACGACTAATGGAAATTAAGATATTACAAAATGGGTCGATTATATTCCTAAAATCATTAGATTCAAAAGATGATAGGGGAATATATCATTTTTTATATTATAGTATTTTGTAATAATTATATAAAATATAATGCATAAGATAGTATAAATATAAATACGAGGGTGGTTTGATAAGTCAGTGACCTTTTGAATTTCCCGTGTAGTGAGTTTTGCCATTTCTTTAGGTTTGGTAACAGATAATAGTCGCAGGGGACTAAATCTGGAAAATATGCTGGATGGGGTAGTAGTTTGTATCCCAATTCGTGGATTTTGGCCACAATGCTTAATCAGCACACGAAATTCACTTTTTCTCATTGTCGTAACAGTTTACGAGGTTGTCTGCTTTGAACGGCTATATTAAAAAGTTGCCCACTGGTAGATTACAGCTGACGGCAGCACTGTTGCATTTGTAGTAACTGCGCGGGGAATTCAAAAAGTCACTGACTTATCAAACCGCCCTCGTATAAAAAAGATTTAATATATATGAAGTTACATAAATTATAAATATAAATAATAATTTATTTCTATTTACTTAAAGCTTTTACGAGGTGCCACTGAAAATGAACTACGTCAGCATGATCTCAATAAAGATCCAAGCAAATATCATTATGTGAATCAAGGTAGTATGGATATACTTAACGAAAAATCTGATTACAAAGGCACAAATAACGCATTTAAAACATTGGGTTTTGCCGCTGATGAAGTAAGCACAATATGGCGCACAGTAGCAGCAATTTTGCATTTGGGCAATATTGAGTTCCAAAGTAAGTATACGAATATATAACTTTGTGAAAAGAAAAGTTATTAAATTTTTTGTTTCTTATATTTAAAGTGATTGAAGACGACTTGGTTATAAGCAACAAGGTACATCTGCAGTCAGCCGCGAAATTGCTGCAGGTTACTGAAACTGAATTGTCATCGGCACTGACGAAACGAGTAATTGCAGCTGGAGGTAATGTTATGCAGAAGGATCACAATGCAACACAAGCAGAATATGGCAAGGATGCGCTAGCCAAGGCTATATATGATCGCCTCTTTACGTGGATTATAACACGTATTAATCGCGCCATTCTATTTCGGGGCTCTAAAACACAAGCTCGTTTTAATTCAGTTATTGGCGTTTTGGATATTTACGGTTTTGAAATATTCGATTCCAACAATTTTGAACAATTCTGCATTAATTACTGCAACGAAAAAATGCAACAATTATTTATTGGTACGTAGTCATATAGTTCTCGTAGAATTTTATTTTTTTACCGCTAATCATATTACAGAGTTAGTCCTTAAACAGGAGCAAGAAGAATACCAACGCGAAGGTATTGAATGGACAAATATTGAGTACTTCAATAATAAGGTATATTTTTTATATAAATAGATAGTGACATTATAAATAAAATTATAACTATTTCTTTTTACTTAATTTTTTCAGATCATTTGTGATTTAGTGGAGCAACCACACAAAGGTATCATAGCAATTATGGATGAAGCTTGCCTTAGCGTAGGCAAAGTTACTGATGAAACTTTATTGAGTGCTATGGATAAAAATCTAAGCGCACATCCACATTACAGTAGTCGTCAATTAAAGCCAATGGACAAGGAATTGAAGCATAAAGAAGATTTTCGCATTACTCACTATGCCGGTGATGTCATATACAATATCAAAGGATTTATAGAAAAGAACAAAGATACATTATATCAAGATTTTAAACGTTTACTTCATCATTCTAAGGATGCCAATCTAAGTGAGATGTGGCCTGAAGGTGCCCAAGATATTAAAAAAACCACCAAACGTCCACTTACCGCTGGAACACTATTCCAACGTTCTATGGTTGAGCTTGTCAAAACATTACTTAAAAAAGAGCCATTCTATGTGCGTTGCATTAAGCCCAATGATATTAAGAGCTCAACTGTCTTCGATGATGAACGCGTCCAACATCAAGTACGTTATTTGGGTCTATTGGAAAATGTAAGGGTACGACGTGCTGGTTTTGTACATCGCCAACGGTACGACAAATTTTTGTTACGCTACAAGATGATTTCACAATTTACTTGGCCTAACTTCCGCATGGGCACTGAACGTGATGGTGTACGTGTATTAATCGAAGAGAAAGGTTTCAGTAATGATGTGAAATATGGTCACACTAAAATATTTATACGTTCACCAAACACGTTGTTCTCATTGGAACAGCAGCGCAATAAAATGCTACCACATATTGTCACACTACTGCAGAAACAAGTACGCGGTTGGATCGCACGTCAAAATTATAAAAAAATGAAAGCCGCATTGGTTATAATGAGAGCATATAAAACTTATAAACTGCGTTCATACATACAGGCTTTGGAGCAGAAATTCAAAGGTGCTGGAAAGTTGCGTGACTATGGTCGGAGTATAGTTTGGCCCAAACCACCTCTAGCAGGACGTACTGCTGAAGCGAAATTGCGTCGCATATTCAATCACTGGCGTGCATATATGATACTACGTAAATACCCACGTTCGGAGTGGCCACAATTGCAACTGCAAATGATAACTGCAACTGCTATAAAGGGACGAAGACAACATTGGGGACAGCAGCGTAAGTGGCTGGGTGACTATTTGGCCAATTCACTGGAGAATAGTTCATATCAAGTGTACAGTTCAAATGTGAAAAATCTGAGAAATGCCGAAAATGTCAAGGCTGTACTTTTCTCTTCGTTCGTTAAGAAGTTCAATAAGCACAATAAGCAAGCAGATCGCGTAGTAATCGTAACTGATGCTGCTATTTACAAACTTGATGGTGCTAAGAATAAATTTAAAAATATGAATCGGTCGATTTATATTAAAGATGTGAGTAATATTATTATTCTCCAGAGATAATTTTGTTAAAATATATATGTTTTTTTTTTCATTTTATAGTTAACTGGTATTAGCATTAGCCCTGGACGTGATCAACTTATAGTGTTCCATTCGCCTTTGAATAACGATTTGGTGTTTGCACTACAGGGCGAACATACACCACTAAAAGAAGACCGCATTGGAGAAATAGTGGGAATTGTTTGCAAAAAATATTATGAGTAAGTGTCGAAATATCTGCGATAGTTAATAGTATACATTTTAATGATTAAACTAAAATAAACTACTTAGTAATTAACCCCGAAATAATACGTGGGTTGATATGTTTAATGGCGGCAATATATATGAAAGTAAAACTGAGGTGTAAATTTGGGATTTTGGATTTTATAAACTAATCCAAGCCAAGATAGAGAAATCTTGTAACTTAGGAAAGAGCAACAAATCTATTATATTCTTTTTTCAACACCTTATTTAAATTAAATAAGTTATTTGGTTTAATAATCCAATAAATTCAATATAGCTGTATGCCTCTTTAGGTCTTTTTATTTTTGTGCATAGAACATGTCTCAAATAAATTTTGTTATAGCTGATTCATATCTTCAATATCCTTAACTTCTAAGTACAAAGGGGTGCTCAATAGACCAAGCTGGTCGCAGCTCATAAAGGTCTAAGCTCAATATATAAACCATTACTTACTTACTTATGTGGGCATAACAACCCGTTACCGAGTTTCGAGCTGACGCAGCATGTCTCCCCAGGCGCCTCTGGGTGTGCGCGCCTTTTCCAGTCTCGTATATCAAGTCCAGTTAGTGCTTCCTCAACTTGATCACTCCGCCGGAGACACGGTCTACCTCTACATCTTCTTCCGCCAACTACTGCTTCAAACACCTTTTTCGCCGGAGCATCTTCATCCATTCTCACTACATGACCAATCCAGCGTGGATGTTAAGGCGTTGAATTATATCAATGTCGTGGTAAAGCTCGTACAGCTCGTGGTTCATTCTAATGCGATAGTCGTTGCTAACTCGTAGAGGACCAAAGATCTTACGAAGAACTTTTCTGTCGAACACTCCTAGTGCTGCTTCATCCTTCTGTGATAACGTCTATGCTTCTGCGCCATACAGAAACACAGGGAGGATGAGCGACCTATAGAGCGTAAGTTTCGTTTGTCGAGAGAGAGCTCTACGTTCCAATTGCCTACTGAGCCCATAGTAGCACCTATTAGCAATCCACAATATAAACCATTATCATAAATAATGTAATAAGTATTATTATTGGTTTAAATGTCTGTATATAAATGTTATACTATAAGAGTCATCGAATCCTGTCAAATTTGAATCATGGACTTATGTATTTACACAACAAGTCATATCTGCTAAATTGGGTCTTAGGGAAAGAAATTTATCTTCGAAATGAAAAATATTTTAAATCCAAAAGTTGAATTTTTATTCTAATGAATTCTTGGATTGACTACATACAGCTATTTTAGATTTCAAATATATCCATCATCAGTGGTCTTTGGAAACAATTAAGCTTTCCGTATATAATTTAGTATTTCAATAATTTTATTAATTTTTTGCAACTCATATTAAATTACTTTGCGACTTACATTGCACCGTTATCGAAACATTTTGAAATTGCTTCCTTGACAAAATACAAAACCTTTAGTTTAGAAACTCTCCATTTCCTTAGTTTATATATAATTTCTTATTAAATTTGAAATAAATTATTTTTAATATTATTTATATAATAAACTATTTTAGTTCTGGTATTTTTAATTGTATTACAATATATTATATAACTATATAACCCTTTAAAGTCTATATTGTTTATAGATTGAATAAAAAATTCATATTTATGGTTTCTATGGATTTTTATTTGTTACTATTGTTGTATTTTATGAACTAAATGTACTGCATAAGCTATAAAATAGGTTTGTAATATTTTAGTATAGTTAAATTTTTTATAGTATATTATGCCGAACTTCGCACAGCTTATTATATAGTCGATTTCATTAGTCGATGTGTCAATTCTATAGCAAAAGCATTTATTATCAGCTATTTTACTATCTTTAATTAAAACCATTAATTACAATGGATCTTCGGTTAACATTTGTAACGGTACCAAAACTGCACTTTTCTGCATTTAATTGGATATATGCCGCCAATCATGAAAAAAAAAATACCAAATGTCTGCAGCAAACTACATACTAACAATGTTGTTACTACTTCCAGTGAGATGCATACTGAAAAAAATTAATAAATAATATGTATATAAAAGTGAATCTAGCTCCCTACCATATGTTGGATATATACATAAATATATTAAGTTACTACCTTTGGTTTAAATTTGTTCTTAAAATCATAGCGAAAACGAAATCCATTCCATACTATTTTTCGTTCTGGATTCATTTCATAAATCATAGTAGGAAAATGAGTATGCAACAGAAAATGTATTCCATACCAAGTCCATTTTTAGCACTTCCGTTTCAATTTGATCCTCCAATCACAAGTTGTAAGGGAAATTCAACAAATTTCATACGAGACTACCTATAGTTTCAGCTCTTTCGATTTAGGTTGTTGTGTAGATAATAGTTTCGATAAATGCGCGTTCAAGTCCAGCTGTACCATATATTGTTTAACTGCCTATGATTAGATTACATTCGACAATCAATTCCAAACCAAACCACCAACAGTTTTAGTGCCTCTAATTGATTTCTTTTCTACAAACCATTCAATCTACAGCTTTACTACCTGTAATTAGATTTATTTTTAACATCATATAGTATCCACAAGATTTCGTATCATATTACATATATACTTATTTCATCCGTCAACAATTATTTGAACTGCAATGCACAAGATCTATTTTACAGCCTATTCAAATATTTCTCCTTGTTTCTCACTTCACAAACTGTAGCAAAGATATATACCTGTCTGACATCATACGCATGATAACTAAGAGATATACACGAGTGCTACAGTAGTAATATTAATGTGGATTATTAGTGTAGCAAATATATATACCTGTCTGACATCATACGTATGATAACTAATAGATATATACGAGTGCTACAGTAGTAATATTAATGTGGGTTATCTGGGTTCCAGAACCGGTCACTTGTCTATATTTTGCAGCCAATCGTTTACATAGATGCTGAAATGACATACACCATTCACACTTTTTTTACGACAGAGATAATACTATCAAGTCTAGTTATAACATTATCAATTAATAGTGCATCTATTCGGTTGTCAGTTAATGTAGAGACTTGTCTTCAAAATCGTCAGTAACTTTCAGATTGTTTCAAGGATAGATAACCGTATTACCAAAACGACAAAATTTAAAATTAAATCCCGACTACACCTTATGGAATTGCTTATAGAATTTAATTGTAAATTTGTAGTTTACTTTCTAGCAGGCGTTTTTTGTGTACATAGTAATGAGACCAATGAAACAGCTACTTTCCAAAGTTTTGTGTAATAGAGCTGCTATCATGGAGAATTTATGTGCCCAATCTCTAGGATTTATGTGCCCAATTTCTGCAACTTTCTAAGGATATGTGAAATACAGCTGTTATCGTGGAGGATTTATGTGCCCAATATCTACAACTTTCCAATGATATACGAAATACAGCTGCTACCATGGAAGATTTATGTGCCCAATCTCTGCAACTTTCTAAGGATATGTGAAATACAGCTGCTATCATGGAGGATTTATGTGCCCAATATCTACAACTTTCCAATGATATATGAAATACAGCTGCTACCATGGAAGATTTATGTGCCCAATCTCTGCAACTTTCTAAGGATATGTGAAATACAGCTGTTATCATGGAGGATTTATGTGCCCAATCTCTGCTACTTTCCAATGATATATGAAATACAGCTGTTACTATAGAGGATTTATGTGTTCAATGTTCTATAGCTTTCACTAAATGAGGGAAACATCCACATTTTCTGTGTAAGATATTTTCACTCTCTTTTGTCAACTATTGCTTGTTAACTTGTATCGCCAAATTTTTTGTTTTTTGTGACCTTCAAAAAAATTTTATTTGTATTTTATGGCTGGCACATTTAATCTTTGTCGACCTCCTTTTCTACCAAATTTCTTGTACCAACTTTTTAGTTTATTGCCAATGCCAGTATTCCTTTTTACAGAAACGAATTTCATATTTTTCTTATCAGGTCCAACTGCCGCCGACTGTTCTTCCTCATGCGTATCGCTAAGTTCTATTATTTCCTCAGGCTCTTGTGCGATATCTATCTTCTGTTCTTCGTCTTCATAAAATGTTACACGTTTCGGTTTTTTGGATTTATTTTTCCTATTCTGTTGTCTTTTCCGTACCTTCTTAACGATTTTGTTTCTTATATATTTATGGACAGCTACATTTGGTGAGACCTTAATGTATATCTTTATAGTTTGTTTTGGTGCCCATATATTTTCGATATACAATACAACCAAGTCGAATAACAAAACAAGTCCCAGTATGAACATCAAGAAGTATAACAATGGATGCATTGTGTTAATTTTAAATATTACTTCGGAATTTTGAAAAATCAATCGAAACAATTTCAAATAAGCCAAAACGTATATGGAAATTTTGTATATTACAGGAATTTTATAAATGTGATGTGAAATTTTGACTTCCAAATTTTATAGAAACTTTATAACTATATTATAGAATATAGAAACTTTTACTACAAATATTTGCCTACTATGTTATATATATACAATATATGTATGTATATTAGTATACCTTCTCGGAAAGGTATGCAGATCTCAGGTCAGTTATTGCTTAGTCTGATAAACTGATAAAAAATATTCCAGTCAAGGCGTAGAGGGGTTATGAAAAAATATCGAAGTTAATAGAGAGTAAAAGTGTTCAAGTGCATTGACTCAACTAGCCTCAACATAATAATGAAATAAATTCAAAGTTATAAACTTAGATTTAATTATTATTAATTTTTTTTTCAGTATACATGAGCGTGAACTACGCGTAGACGTGAGTCCCACAATCGCATGCCGATTAGGAAATAAATTACGGAACATAACAATTGAAGGCACCTCCGGCGTAGAAAATCCCAGTTTTAGAAACAATTACGGCAATATCATATACGAAGTACCGTCACAATATTGTGCTTAGACCTTAGCACTCCGTCACGCATTCAGCAACCGTTGCCTGCTTGCCAGATGTATGGATAAGTTTTTTCCGGTTTTTTTTTTTTTGTTTTTAATAAATAAAATCCGTAATTATCTATTTTCGCTAAAATTGTTTAATTCTGTGGAGGCGCACACTAAATCAGAATTGCTCTCTATCAAATCAAATGCAATATGTATTCCGTCAGGAAGATATTCTGAGCTTCAAAGTATACTCAAAGTATAAAATTATATGCATAACTTATCCGAATTCAATGGAGCTCTCATTACAGTGGATCATCCAAGTGATCACAGACATAATTAAGTAAAAGTGCTTTAGACACTAACTCAAACAAAGAAGAAGAACTTTTAGCTAATTTCTATGCCAGAAGAACTAATAGTCTTTTGCGACAAACCAATTATGAAGCCATATTTCAACTTCTTCCAAATTACTGAATTTCTGCCCTGCATATGCGAGCCCCATTAATGCAAAAAGATGGGTACTACCCATCTTACGACTATGGAATAACATCTCATCGGAACGACTATAAAGTGTCTTTAACAGGTTTTGCTGTGTAGATCGACGCATTATCGTTTAACAAAATCCATGTATTCTGATTCATTCCGTTCATCTTGCGATTAATGCGTGATTAAAGCTAATCATTTATTGGTAATAACATTGTGCTTTGACGATTTCGTTGGACTTCAAGTGTTTATAATGCACAACACTGCTCTGATTCCATGCATGGTCTTCTTTGCCTAAGCGGCTCAACTTTGGTGTTAAATGATCGGCTGTGCCAGTTAAAAGCCACAATTTTTTCCGTTTCGAGTTTTCAAAATAAATCCAATTTGTTTTGCATTTGATTTTAAAAATTTTGCAATCCGTCACAATTCGTTCCAAAAAGGAACGAATACTACTTTTGTGGTCTACCAGAGCAGATCACTTTTACATTGTCAAAACCTTATCTCACATGTGCTAATCGATGGATTGTGTTTATCACATGTTTCTACCGGACAATGAATTTCAAGTGATTTTTTTTTGTGTTTTTTTTTGATGAAGTAAAGCAATGCCCCTGCCGCAAATGTTCTTTTTTAGGCACACAAAGAGACTAGTTTTTGGCGGACTCAACTTATGTGTGCTTGTAGTTTAATATTAAATAATTAAAATAATATAAAGATTAAATTAATATTAGTATCAAATTAATAAGCTATTAAACTCTTAGTAAAGCCGGAGAAAAACTTATGCATACAGCTGGTATTCAATAAATCGCCAATCGTCTATTAATTTTAAACTATATTGTTATTTAATTTGTTTAATTTTTTTTTGTTTTTGTTTACTTTTATATAAACTATTTTGTGTTTAAATTATTTAATAATTTAAAAAAGCTGTGCTTTATTACTACTGCAATTTTTACATATATTTTATGTATGTTCAACTAAAACTTAGCTATTTTTTATTTATGTTAACTTGCATGTGCTGTAAAATAATTTTTATTGTCTTGTATTGTTTTTATTTCATAATTATTATTATAATTACTCTTAATTTTACTGTTATTATTATTAAGTTAAATGATAATCAAAAATTTAGTCGATATTGATTATAGCAACTTATTTACGAACGTATCCTTTATACCAAATCTATTCTTAGTTTTCCATTAAATATTTGTCTGTGTACTTTATATGTGTCTGTGTTGCTTTTCAAGTCCAAATTATGTTTGCAGTGCTTAATTCTTTATATAAAATTTATTATATATTAATTAATTAAATATGCATTAATTAATTATTAATTAATTAGAATTTAAACGCTAAAAATGTAGCATTTAAGTTAAGTTTAAAATAATTTCACATAAAAGAAACTGAGTATTAAATGTGCAAATCCTTTTTTTTTGCATAAATTATTATCAAATACATATAAAAAGCAAGTACTTTTATAACAAAATAATATAATATTTAAATAATGAGCCATCATCAATTAAAAATTTGTATTAAAACACACAATTTAAACTTAAGTGATTTTATATTTAAATATGAAAGTAGAAAATTTAATATTTATTCGTATATATTTAATTTTGTACTTAATTAAAAAAAAATTAAAAAAAAAACAAAATAATTATGATATGAAAAGAAGCCTTAACAGACAACGGTGCCATGCTCTTATGAAAAATAGTACACAAAAATTTTAAATTTGTTCTTTGTTAAAATTTACAAACATTTACAACTTATTGTTCGTTATTGTTAAAATATGTTAATATATGTCAATATATAATTATATTTAAAGCATGTATGAAATATTTTTTACGCATATACAATGTATTCCATATTATATATTTTATATATTATAAATATTTCAATATTTAATTAAGATTCAAATGATCACTTATATAAAAATTAACACTGAAGTTTTAAAATATATTTGTAAGAAATAACAAAACGATGTTTGTTTGTTTAGTAAATAAAAAAAAAATTGAATGGAATAAACTGACTACTAGCTTCCAGTGGAATAGAGTACTCCGACAATTGTTGATCACCCAACCGAACCTAATCAAATAGAAGAAACTTACTTACTTACATAATGCAGTTTTTTTCTCCTTGTGAAGCATAGCGCCTCATCATCTGATCATCTGTTTTGACGTGAATTTAATACCTTCATATTCGATTTACTGACAGCTACTTGTACAGAGGGTTTCCAGAACTTTCCTGATTACACCATGGAGATATATATTTATTTGGGTTTATTTCCTAAACATCATTTGATTTGCATGCATGTGGTCGATGTTTGATAAGTGCAAAGGCCACAAATATAAAAACACATTTATATAGCGACCCGATTGATTCAAGTATAGAAGCTCATTCCAGTCGCACCTAGCCTGGTGAAACAGACGCTGAAAAGATTGTGAATTGTGCACATCATTCATTGTTCTTTCAAGACTTTACCGGCAGAGGTGATACTACTATTAACTATGCCACCGCCGGCATCGTTCGAGAAATCATCGCAACTAATAAGACCCCCCACCACGTCAAGGTAACAATTCCCGATTAGGATCCTCCCCAAGAGCAGGGCATAGGGCCATTGAATTAAGATCAAATAACTATCCATATCCTAATATGAAGATAGCATCTCTCATATCTCTCATCTCATTCTATTTTACATGGTAAAATATAAAATATAAATAAAATAGGTAAGTGCACACATTATAACCATAGAGACATGATAAGAACATTGTGTGAGATATAGAATAGTACTTTAGGCACATGAGAATCACAATAAAGGTAACAGGTCATAAAATCATAGTGGGTTTAATACTACAATTTAATTAATGTATAAAAAAATTAAAAACTCTAACCTGTGAAGTTTTATATGACAATGAATATTCCTTATAGCAATAATAAAACAATTTTAAATTAAAATTCATTTTTCTTATATGTATTTTTAGATTCACAATTTAAATAGTGAATGGCGTTGGTATATTTGTACATTAGATTTGTCTAGCTGGCTCGAAAGAGTCTCATATAGAGCAACTTGACCGTTGGTTTTATCAGAAAGAAAAAATTAAACTATTTACGAAGTTTGCGGCATTGCTAATTCAAAAAAGATTGACAAAGTTTCAAGCAGTAGTCTGACAACTCATATTTCTATAGCGACATTTAAATCTGTGAGCCCTGCATCTTCTAAGTATTTTTGTCGTAGTCTCATCAATGTTCAACACTGACAGATAATATCCTTTGATTTCGGTATTTCATATTTCTTGCATATGTCGCTAATGTTCAATCCTATTTCCTGTGTTTATAACAAGCAATGGACTTTTTAGAAATCCACATTTGACATTAAGAGTACGTATTTTGTAAATTTTACAGTGTACGACCTGTATAGTATTTGATCCTGACAGTAGACAATTCTTTTTCTATTTGCTTAACTATACATCTATGTATATAGAAGTTATCGAAATGTCAGATATAGTATTATTATTTAACTTCTTTTTTAGTCAGGCAATCCACCATTCCATTGCCATCAATGTCTTAATGACCGACCACCCAGTAGATTCGCAGTTTTTCTCTCACTCCTAGATCATTTATCGTATTCACTCCACAACGCTTTTTGTTAATAAGGTTTTAATAAGGTTTGCAAAGTTTCTACTTTAATTACAGCCTAGCTGTCGCTATAAAGAATATATAGACGATTTCATCGCGTATGGAAAAAGACTTTAGTAACTTTGCCTCTCATAACTGGAACTGTTTCCAAATCACAATACTTTATTCTATATAGTAGCATATAAAACTATCACTACATACAATTGTTCGTCTGTGGATCCTTCAAGCCACATTTTCATCTTTAGATTAAGATTGTTCAGTTTAATTAATGTAATGTATTAGTATGTTTCCACTGGCTTCATTGGTTAACAGTTAACTTACTTGAGATTCAAGTAATTGAAGCAATCTCAAGTAAGTTAACTGGTCTAACGAAGCCAGTGGAAACATACTATATGGGAACTGAAATCTATCTTCTCGTTATGAAATGTTATTTTTACTTTCTTTTGAGGGTTTATTAATCTAACATATTAAAACAAAAAGATTTTTAAATTAAATTTTTCAAAATTTTGTTCTGTAATTTGCAAAATATAATGGATGGCAGAATATGTGTTTCTCCATACATAAGAAGAAAACAATTAAATTCGATCGAATGCGCTCGAAACATATTTGAGAATTAATAGTTTAACGTATCGTGTCAATCTTCTGAAGTGTGAAATTTGTGTGCGTGTCTACATCGCAAGTCTAAATTCTTAGGTATTTAGTATGCTTTAGTACTTGGACTGAGTTATAAACGATCTGTTCGATTAAGAGACAACAATTGAATGCAATTAAAAGAGTTTAAAAATAAATTTGATTTTAAATTAAGAATAAAAGTGAAATAGCAACGTACGTGTCAAGGTGATTACATAAAAATTGTGAATTGAACTTATAGCAGCAAATTATCTCAATCTTGCGGAATCGGAAAAGATCACTTCAATTTATAATAGTTTATACAATAAATTTAAAGGAAATATGACAAGTCGATGGGAAGAGATTGCTAAATATTATCACAGGGATCTATCATCAAAATCAGCGACAACAGCAACAACATCAGCGGCAACCGCGGCAACTGCAACATCAATAACCACTACAACCACAACACCAATTGCATCAGGTATTAAGACTGGTCTGGAAAGTACTAAGATCTCCACTGTATCATTTTCATTTCCGACGACCTCAGTTTCAAACTCCAGTGGTACTTCAAATTCGATTATAACAAAACTCTCAAAGCTAACACAGCTAGATGAGACTACTACGTCAACATCAATAGCGGCCAGCCCAAACACTTCCAGCCCGAATGGTAAATATGTGAACTGGAGTAGTCAACACACAACACTTGCATTATTGCCATGGTGCTGTATTGGCGACCTGATTGCATTTTGTGATAAATATGAGTACAAGACAGTAACTGTCGCTGGTGCACGAGGTCACAATATCATTGTCAATGAAGTGAAAGCATTATTGAACAGCGCAGCTCCTTTCGATTCAAAGAAACGATTTCCCGAAAACACACGAAATACTGAAAATCTTTGGGTGTGCATAGGTCGATGCGCTGGTGTGGAGTACCATCTGAAACGTATTTTAACAGCTTTCCGAAAACCTTTAGACACGTTATCAGCCGACAAACAGCGCATAGCCAGACAGAATTTCCATCTAGCTGTCAATGAATTACGTTTAGATATATCAGCAAGAATTTCAGAAGTTCGTCTATACGATCGCAATATATTCGAAAAAGATTTCCATCTCAAATGGGAGGATGAAGCATAGTTCATGTAATAAGAGCTGCACGATAATTTAATGCGACAAAACTTAATTATTGTGAAATAGGAGACATAATTCAGTCAAATTAAAATGTTTTTTTTATCACTACAATTCGGGAATGTAATAGTTGTTGTGTCCTAAATTATTTTTTATTTTTTTAAATTAAAAGTAATTAAAATTTATTATAAAGTCTAAAAAAATTTTTAAATCTAATAAAGTAGTAACTAGTAATAAAGAAAAAAGTTGAAACACTATATGTGTTCTACAAGGGGCGCTACAACTGCAGTTTCTCTGTTCTTTCAACGCTATGCCGAAACAGTTCTATAGATTCGGATTTTAGACTATTTTACCATTGCCTTACGATTAACTTTAACAAATAATCGACTAACTAAGAATTAGTAACTTGCTTTATTGGTTGATTAAATTACAATTGTTGCGACCATATAAAAAAGTCTACGATATCTCATGTCATAAAGAACCTTTTTATTATAATAGTAACAATATAATATTGTTATAATGACAGTATAACAACGTGACATTAAAATCCATTCTCACCTTTTTAAACTTGTACAATATATAGTAGTATTTTTTCTATTGTACCTCGAGTCTTAGTTCACCATCGGATGTTATATATTCTTCAAACTGCTTTTTCGTTTAAGCAATTGGGCAAGGCACCTTCTTAACTACGTGCTTTATAATCTCCACGTTCTGTTTGGAAAAACTACAATTCACATTTAATAATATTCCTAGTTTGTTGAGGTGTGAGTTCCACTTACAATGTACTATCAGAGTTCTTGTTAAGTCCAACCTATCAACAAATCGATATGACTCCATAAAGGAAATGTTGAAATGTTAAAAATCGGGTAAGTTATACTAGTGTTTTCTCTTCTTTCCAAACAAACAAGGTAATGTTTCCACTTCCAAAATTGTTTTGATCGCTAAAGCAGAGATACTGCTCTTCCCATTTAAGCAGGGTTTTTTTGCCATTTCATTACTTTAAACCCTAAATTCTATAGAATTCATATTTGCTTGTTTTTTATATTCGTAAACTTCTCTTTAAACAATTTTGACGCCATCTGTTCAGATTTAAGTACATTGATGACTATTGGCTAAGATCAACATAACGATTCATTAATTTTGGTACTTACGTTTAGGATTGAAGTTAACAATTATTTTGACAGCAAAACTTTTATTCCTAATTAGGGTGTCAGTTGTCGATGTTCAAAAAGTTACTCAGAGTAGAGAAAATGTAGTAAATAAAATACATATATTAAAAAATTATAGACCCAGACTTTTAACTTTTAATTTATAAAAAAAGTTCACTCCTTGAAAAAATATCAAAATAAAAAATAATACTCGGCATTGATTATAATACAGGATATTATTTTATTGAAGAGCAGAAAATCTATACTCTATGACATATAGTAACATAAAAGATATCACGTACTCATAGTTTTAAATTTTTTAATCAAAAATTTTCCTGTTTAATATTTTTTTAGTTTTTTTAGTATATCTAATTTTATTATAAACTAAGTTTCTAAATTTTAGTTGCTGCTATATATATATATTTGGCAGAATTTTTAATATTTTGGATTATAAAAGAATACAATATTCTTTTCAAAATTCCAGTACAAAAAAAATTGCAAAATGTATATTTATATATTGGCCGCCATATTTTATATATTAGCACTTAGGTGTTTATTAAACTTCGCTGTACGACATTTCGATGACGATGAACTCGAACCGGCCTCTTCTGTCAAAATAGAAATTAATGTAGAACCAGATATGGGCGCTAACCAAAATACAACAAAGAAGAAGCAAAATGACTTTAGCAAATCTAAGACTGTAGACAAAATCGGTAAAAATAAGAAACTAAAAGATACGACTAAGACTAAGAAAGGTAAAAATAAAAACGGAAAAAGTATACATATATTAACAAAGGATAAAAATTTGAGAAGTAAAAGCAGTAAGAAAGCAAAAGTTATCCCCACAATCAAATCAAAAAAAACTATCAAAAATCTGTGCACTGTCCAAAGTCTGAACGATAATATCATAGTTATGCCTGCCAGAGACAAAACTAGATCTAAAAATAAAGTCGTTGTAATGGTTAATGAACAAGCCAAGACAGTCAATGAAAATAGTTTAGTAATACCTACTAGGGACGGAACTGGTTCTACCAAAAAAGTCGTTATATTATTAAATGAAGAGGCACAGATGTTTAATGGAAATACTTTAATTAAGCCTACTACAAATGAAACCGGATCTCCAAAAAAAGTCGTTATATTATTAAATGACAAGCCCCAGAAAAATAATGAAGATATCTTAGTTGCGCCTACCGGAGATGAAACTGAATCTAGCAATAAAATGGTTTTATTATTAAATGACAAGAAAAACGATGAAAATATGTTAACTGTGCCTGAAGAAGATGAAACTACATCGAGCAATGACGACGGTTTATTAAATGACAAATCACAGACGATCAACGATATGATATTACCAGAAAGTAACGTAAGTCAAGTCTAAAATACATATGATGTAGATGGCCCTCTTAACAATTTCTAAGAATAAAAGAGGAGACAATTTTGTGAATGAGAAGCAATCAACATATACACCTACGGTTGCATATACTAGATACGACATGTAGAAAATTCTAAATTACGGCATGCTAAGTAACATTAGAGTTACTAAAGATAGTTCTTAAGCTTAAATTAAAGTATTGTCAAATGTTCGGGCTTACATTAATAGAAACACATAATACCAGAAAATATCAGACATCAAGTCAAAGCTAAACAGTTGAGAATATTCAACTCAACCAAACAATAAAACATAAGAAGTAAATTTACGGAATACCAAAGTGGTGAGTTCAGTCTTTTGCTAATTCTAAAATAAATACTTATATGTTAAAGTCTTAAACTACTGGCGATCACATATACATATATCTATCTACGACATGTAGAAAATTCTATGTTACAGAATGCTATGTAACAGTAGAACGCTAAGTTACCAAAGATAGTTCTTGAGCTTCAATTGAAGTGTTGTCAAATGTTCCAGCTTACATATAACATTAATAGAAGCATGTACTACCCGCAAATATCTAATGGCAAGTCAAGTACTTAAGAGTTTACAGTTAAAGTTACAGATACCCAAACCGGTGAGTTCTGTTTTTTTTTTTTGGTAATAATAAATACGTATATTGAAGGGTCTAAAGTATCAATGATAATCAAGAAAGCATGTAATTATATATTGATCAATACGATAAAGTACTGTTGTCTACATTGATATGAGAAAACAAGCAGAGTTCATCATATTTAGTTACGACATGTGTCAAGTTTTAAGCCATAGGAATTGCTAAGTAACAGCAGAATTAAATCAAAGTGCTGTCAAATGTTCCGGCTTACATAAACAGAAACAAGTACTCCCCGCTAACATCTGATAGCAATCCAAGCGATTGTCAGTATTGAACTCAAACAAACCAAATAGGATAAGGAATAAGTTTACAGAAAACCAAGCTGGTGAGTTTAATTTTTTGGTAATTTCGCTAAATACTTATATGTTAAGATCTTAAGTATCAATGTTAATTAAATAAACATATAATTATAGATAAAACACAATAAACTACTGGCGACTACAATTACATCTAAAAATGAGCGGAGCTCATCAGCCCTCACAAAAAATACAGCTTGAAGTACAGACAGACATATTAGGATCAAGTAATAGTAACTACATATGTAAGATAATGCACTAAGCATGATAGGCAAAGGTTCGTATTTTGAGGTAAAATTATTTAACTGTTTATATTTTTATAAAGATAAATCAGATATCGTCTGCAGAACATCCATCGTAAGTAAAGCTACTTACTTTTATCGCATGAATTTTAACTGGTATCAGAATTTATCATTTATCAGAAGGTCCAACGTGACGTGTGTCCAACGCAGTGCAACATTAGCGAAGTTTGAAGTTCCAAACTTAGGTTGGATGAATGTATCCATTTGTTAGATATGAAATGCAAACAGAGAGTGAGTAAATTAATACATAAATTGGATTTTTATGTAATATTTTTTCCTTACAGTGATACGAAGAGCACATCTAACTGATAACAGGAGAATATGCCAGCTGTAGAGAGGGTCCTTCATATATATCGCTATATGCTATATGATTAGAAATGGACATCACACTAAAACCAGTTATATATGTGGATGGAAAAAGGCTGTGCATAACTGAATGGAATTGCAGATTGAATGAATTTTTGCCAAATATTCACATATAGTTTTCATAGAATGATTCTAATTACATAAGTGAGGGAAGGAGGTAGCTGAACGTACAATAAAGTATAAACATTTAATAATCCATTTATGAAACTACAGCAGCAACTAATAAAATTACAAAAAATCCGTTATTAAATTTTTTTTTTTTTTTTTGAATTAAAGAAGCATCGTTTACTAATAATAATAAATCTATAAACATTTAAATCATTAAATAGAATAATAACAATATATTATTATATTACATGCAATAATTTTAAAAAGAATTTGAATTTTTAAACTTTATTTACTAATTTTTTTCGAAACGCTTAATTAGACAGTTTTCTTAATTTCAACAAGTTTCTGCATTGCTTCAGTCCTTATAGAAATACATTATTTATATATAATGTATGTATATATATACAGTTTTACTACAAGGCTAAAGACATGCTTAGTTCGGATATATCCGTGGCAATATCAAATAAGAGTTCTTAAAGTCAATTAGAGAGAATACACAACTCCTTAAGTTGTGCAAGTCTTAAAAAATATATTAAAAAAAGTTCTTCATACTTTTAAAACTAATGTTTCAGAAGCACTTTAATGACCTTAGCTTTAACCAACTCGTAACAGAACTGTATCCACTTTAGACTTAAATCTTTTTCACTGAAATTGAAAATTGTTTTACTAATCATTATTACATACTAGTACAAGTACTTTACCTGATTGAAAATTCTGGAAGATTTCCTCTCTATGTATTCGGCTATCTTGAAAACCGGGCTAAAATTATTTAGAACTACCAGTTTTGAGTTGTTGTTGTAACCCGCCGGGACCTGCTTGTGGAGTCCCATTTGGGGATGGGGACGTAGACCCGACCGTTCTACCAGTTTTGAGTGATTGAATTTGTTGTTATAATTCGCAAGGACGTAATGATCATAGACTCTGATGGGAGTGATGAAATAAGAATTGTTTCGGCAGGTAGTCTTATACGACGCCCAGTTACTAAGTTGACCTTTACCTGAAAATAACTGAAGGCAACCCTCATTTTACCTAATAATAAAGGTAAATGTGATAAAGGTATCAGGAGTGTGCGGTACCTCATACACCTTTTATCTACCCATCTTTTTACACTGATAAGAAATCTTGTCGATTAAGCTTAGACGCTGCTTTGCTATTATTAAAGTAAAAAGAGGCAAAAATTAGGTTTTATGTGCTCTTACAGAACTTACATATAGAATGGACATCTTGCCATTCTAAAATATAGTAACATCAAGCGGCAAATAGTGTCACAAGATTGCACCAAGTATCGACAATTTTTCTTGCAATTCTAAAGGATAATATTATTTGCGTAAATAAACGTGAGACAGTTTTTACAATAACCTAAGAAATATATAACAGATCATTAATTCATTTAAACGTTTTCTTTTTTAAATAATGTACATACATACGTAGTGATGAAATTCGAATAGGCAATCATGCAGATGTTTACATAAATTGCTAAAATTTAGAATAATTTTTGGCTTTATCCTTGGCATTTGAAGATATTAAAAGTATCCTTATCCGGGTAAAATAAACCACAAGCAACAAAAGCTGCTGTGTACTTAATACATAAGAAAACATTAACCATCTTCTTGACGAACCGACCACAACACTCCTCTACACATTATTGATGATAACTTAGTTCAAGCTAGCGCTGAACTACATTGCCAATTGTTTTCAAATAAAACATTTTAAATACAAAATTTAATATATGAAGACGTCTTTAGGTGCACTGAAATTTACAACGAGAGTTATCAACAACGCTTAGTCGAGTACCCACAAATACCCCGTTAACCTCATCAACCAACAACAGTCAAATTGAAATTGTTATTAATTATAAAAGCGAAGACTTAATTAGAAATCTCATGTTTTACTAAAATTAAAAACTACTTTTATTTTTCATTTTATTTGTATTTTATTTGTAACGTAGTTTTATAAACAGAGATTTCATTAAAGCTATCCTTTACTGGAAATGAGATATTAAACTGATGAAAATGATATAAAAATTTTAAAATAAATGAAAATACAAAACGAAACCAATAACAAGAAACATAACGGAATGCTATTTAAATACTTTTTGGGACGTTTATTTTTAGTTAGCAACAACGCCACTATTTTCTTTTTCTGGTATTTCTTTAACACCAGTTGAACCAAATCCGCCAGCACCACGTACAGTGTCATCTAATTTCTCTGCTTGTTCGAGTTCCGGGTAAAATATACGTTCGCATATAAATTGAGCAATACGGTCACCGCGTTTTACTTCAAAGTCATCATCAGAATGATTGAAAAGTACAACACCCAAGTTACCACGATAGTCTTCATCAACGACACCAGCGCCAACGTCAATAAAATTTTTAACAGCAAGACCTGAACGTGGTGCTACACGTCCATAAGAGCCTTCTGGTACTTGGACTTGTATATCGGTTTTGACTAAAGCTTTACCACGTGCCGGCACTTTAACATCATAAGCGCTACGTAAATCTAAACCAGCAGCCTTAACTGAACCACGCACCGGTTCGAATGCGTGTTCACTCAATTTTGCCCAACGAAGTACGGTTTTTTCAATTTTCATTTTAATAGCTGAGATTGTAGAAATATTAACTATAATTTGAACTATAATTAATATTAATTTAGCAATGAATCATAAATACTTACCACAAAAATTAACACAAATTACGCAGCGTCTGTGACTCCAACTTGCGGTACTTTGAACAAATTTGGCGCTATTTTTCATGACATTTGGAATTTCGCTTTATCGAGAAGCATTGCCAATATAAAATAACGAAAAATTGCATTCCATGATAAAATGTAAATGTATGCATAAATAATATTCATTTAAGCTGCTTTGTATTTATAAATTATAATCGGTATGTCTCCGTACGTACTTTAAATAAAAGTCTAGTTAAAAGCTATTTTAATTTCATTATTTACTTTCTCCATTCCTTAAATCAGAATGAGTAAGTTTCTTGAAAACTCTTTATTATATCGTACTATACAATTTTACTCAAAAAATTTCTCCAAAAAAAAAAGTCACGCCGAAATACATCTGACTTGTGTTAGATGTATAAATATAATTATTAAATGTTTTTTTTTGCTGAAATAATTTCTAATTTAATAGAATCGAAAAGTGGAAAATTTTTTTTAATGAAGAGAATATAAACGTAATAAAACATATAAGTGGTATTCAGGATGTCTGTGCATCGTTGCATGTGCAAAATTATTTGATTTCACAAAAACAAAAAAAAAATAAACCATGGTTTAAAAAATGGTAATAAATATTATATATCCTATATACATTGAGAAGAAATCACATTGGTTCATGTCTCGCAAATATTTTATAACATTTACTGATATCCTGCAATTAAATAACTGATAAATAATAATGCAAAAGTATTGAAACTTGTGCTTTTAAATATTTATATTATAGATTACATTTCATATCATTTATTGTGTTATTTACTAAGGCAAATGCTATGGCTGACCAGCCATAAAAAGACAGACAGATGACAAATTATAAGTGCATTCATAATTTTAATAATATATGAGCTTTTGCTTTTCCCTATTTTATTTACAACAAAACAGTTATTTAAATTTTGTATTATGTATTTTAACCAGAATCGTCGAGAGTGATGTTAGAACAGCCAGATTAAAAGGCAGATGGCGAAAAAGATGGAGTGACAGTGTTCGACAAGACCTGTATCTGTATATGAGATATATGAATGTCACCAACTGAAAGATAAAAACCAAAAATAGAGAAGAATAGAGAAATATCGTAAAACAAGTTTAGTTCCAACATGGACTGTATACTTATTTTAAACATTTTAATTTTTTTATGCAGAATAGGCGCAAATATCAATTTGCAATCAGGTGTTTTCAATGACATATGCGAATAAAAATGTTTTGTTGGCAATGCCTGTGGAGTACGAAAAAATACCAAAACAAAAGAGTTCATTTTTCAAGGCCAGTGTCAGCAATAACATTCCGAAAGTTGAAAATTATAAAATTGGATTGGTAATAAATTGGTCTATTTTAATTACTAAAACTAATAAAAATTTATATTCCGTTGCAATTAGAATAAAAATGGATTTTACAAATTTTGTTGTGCGAACTGTAAGTTTACTAAGAAAACTGGAAGGTTTTAATATAAATTTGTAAATAATTAATGGTTAATGTTGCCTATTTGCAGTGTCCACCTACTATTACGTATATTCCAAACTTTATAACGTCTGAAGAGGAACAGCATATAATGCGACAAGTGGAGCATGCACCAAAACCTAAGTGGACGCAATTACTTAATCGTCGCTTGATTAACTACGGAGGGGTGCCCCATTCCAAAGGCATGGTAGCTGAGGAAATACCTCAATGGCTGCAAACGTACGTTGATAAAATCAATAATTTTGGTATGTAGATAAAAAAGTTATTTTTAATTTTTTTATTAACTGTTTGACCATACACTTCATAGGTATCTTTGAAACAGAAAAAGCAAATCATGTGCTGGTCAATGAATATTTGCCTGGGCAAGGTATAATGGCGCACACTGATGGCCCACTATTTTACCCCACCGTATCAACAATATCATGTGGCTCACATACTGTACTTGAATTTACTGAACGTGAAAAAACACCAACTTCCAGAGATTGCAGTAATATGACAGAAAATGAAAAATTTGTACAGCTTAATGATATGGAGAGTGATGAAGAAAAAAGCTGTTACAAGAGAAGTGTATGCTTTAAATTATTGCTAGAACCACGCAGTTTACTCATACTAAAGGATCTTTTATATACAGACTATTTACATGCTATAAGTGAATCAACACAAGACGTGTTGTGTGATCGCATACGCAATTATGAAAACTGCGAAACAGTCTATAAAATGGGTGATTGTCTTCAACGTGGTAAACGTATATCGCTGACCATACGTAATGTACCAAAAACTACAAAAATGAAATTAAAATTTTGTTAATACGCATAAGATAGACTGAAGCTCTTTTGCTTTAAAGATATTAAACGTTTTTAGCTAGCATTTAAACTTTTTGAACGATAAACAAATTGAAACTATATCTTCCACCATTACCACCAAACAGGAGCACTACGCATTTTTTGTCAAATATATGCACAATATAAAACTAGCTATAAATTTTGTTAAGCATTTACTTCAGCACTCCAGTTTTTTCTAAATAAATGTGTATGCTATAAAATTATAAAAATATACAACGTGCACTTTACAGGCGTTTAGTGCATAAAAAGCATATTAGCGTGCTGTTCGGAGGTATTCCAAGCGCGGCCGGTTCTACCTATCGATATTCGACTTTTGGTTATCACAAAAACAACGTCTGGGACCATGACTTATAGTTATCACAACAACAACAACGTCTTGGATCTTGACTTATGGTTACCACAACAACATATCGGAATCTGATTTTTGGCTGCAACAACGTCTCGGAGGTATTCATCTTTCCAGACAACTTATGCCATTTATCGTAAGAACGGTTAGAACAGCAACAACAATATACTATACGATTATGTACAAAATAATGGAATAAAATATTTGTGATGACTGCAAGTATTAATCGCATTCAAAAGATCATATATATCTGAAACTAAAGCTTTCATATAATCACAAAAGACCAATATATTTGCTAAAAATTCTATTGCTAAACAGAATGCTTGTAGAGATTGATTCTATATGTTAATGGAAAGTTCAAAGTAACGAGGCTTTAAATAACGTGAATGGCGCACTGATTGTTAAACAATTAAATAAGATTATATATATTTTAAATATATAGCAATAATATCGATTCTAAAATAAATTTGTGAATGTTAAGCATATTATTTTATAAGAAAAAATTTATAATGTTTGTACCTTAATATAATTATAAATAAGAATTTGCAAAATATGTATTTATATAAAAATTTAAATAAGTACATTTAATATATTTTTAAATTTACTACCAATTTATGTATTTTGAAATGCTGTTAGCTTAAAACATCAAATCAATTTTTGAAATTATACTCGTATATGCTTATTGAGCTATTTAAACAATTTTTGAACGTTATTTATTTATGAATGTATTTTGAATGTATATAATTAAAATATTTGTGTGTTAATAAAATTATTTGGTTAAAATTTAATAGCTATATTATTTAATAAATAATTCTAGCAAAACTTGTAAAATAATAATTTATACAAAATAGATAGTGTAGCCTTTATTACAGGGTTTGGCAATACATAGTGTTGTGTGTAATTGTATGTCAAATTAAAAAACAATTATAACTTCTAATAATTTGAAGAGTTTGGAACAATGCTGAATAATTGATCGATAAACTATCGATATATATAATAAATTAACTACCAACAATATGGTGTCCCAACTATACATAAAGCAGACAATTGTCTGAAGAGCTAAAAAGTGTTTCAATTTATTGGTTTTAAATGGTTTAGTAGGGAAAACACATTAACTGTTAAATTATACGAGACAAATAAAAAATTGTTGATATGACATACATACATAGTAAATTAAAAACAGTCGTAAGTATTGTATTTTAATAACAAATAAATGACTTATAACGCCAAACTAAAGTCATATTGCTTCCTCATGCAGATATGCATTGTAAATCGAAGCTTAGTGGTCATAATATAACAAAATCTTTGTTCCAATAAATTAAGGATATACTATAATGATAACGTTACACTAGCACAATATGAATTCTTGAAAATATGTGTATTGGAACTTTTTGAATACCTGACATCTTTTCACAAACTGCTGTAGATTTTCCATTTCTAAATGATTCTATAGTAAGTAGACGTGAAATGTTCCACTTTGTGATATGCATATATCCCTAAAGCCATAGGAACTCACTTTGAACTTTAATAATTCACGAGAATTGCTTTAGTAGCCATACTTTCTTGTAGTATACTTTGACTCTTGCATTAAATGCTTCCTATATGTAAGTGATATAATCTATTCCTATTTTTTAAGTAGAGCTTGTTTTATTTTCTTGAATTATCACATTACAGTCGACTTTACCGGCTACTTACTTAATGTTAAAATAATTGTGTATAGTATAGTTCTACATACATATGTATCTGAGTAGACATTAGTAATCAACAGGTTTATATTATATATAAAAAATAATTCTTATTTCTGTAGTTAACAGTTGTTACTGAGTGCTTTCTTGAGAGAAAACAGGTAGCTTCTTATTAAGAATCATTGAAACTCATGCAGTCTTTTTGAGAGAAGGCGGGTAGATTCTTATCAAAAGTTAAACAGAAAGAAAATATGTAGTTATGATCCGGGTAGTTGCACCATTCCTGAGTAAGTATACTTGCTTCGTCTACCCTGTAAACGTTGGAACTACAATAAGAGCTGCAAGCGGTATTCGAACAGAGTTGACGTCTGCTTCTGAAACAAAGCTCCCTCCGGCCACTTCTCAAACCACAATGTTGTGAATCCTAATCATAAATGTTATGAAAAATTAATTTTATCTTATAATTTGATAAGTTTCAATGAACAATTTTAATCTGATTAATTTAATATGTAAGACAATTTTTAAGAAGACATTATCTCTACAATTTAACTTTGTTTTATCTAAAATTAAGCATATATGCTTCTTAAACTAAAAATAAATTTTATACACATATTTATAATTATTTAAACATACAATATTTACGTTATTTAAGTAGGTGATTCAATTTTTATAGTATAAATTGTACACCACACTCAAAGTGATGGCCAGAAAATTACACAATATAACTTCTAGAGTGGCTAGATTTCATTTCATTTTATATTCAATTTCGATTCAAAAATAATAATGTTACATAAAAATAATACAAAATAAAAAGAAAACAAACGGAACAAAATATACTAGTTACTGAATGAAATAAATTAACGTTTTAATCATCTAAAAAAGGTAAATCATCATCTGATAATGATAAATCTGGTATTTCAATCTGTTGGTATAGATTTGCACTCGCTTCGTGTTCGCCGTCAATTTGCTTTAAATTGGGCATCAAAGAGTTGGTATATATATCCATCAAATCTGTAAAATCATCTTCGAAATGTTTTTCATCATCATTTGAATTCATAGTTTCCTTTACTCCCTCTATTAATTTGTTTATAAATGAATCTTCCAATGCACCCATTTCTGACCAAATTTCTTGATCAGCTATAAATACGATTTAAAAAAAAAATGTTAAAATTAAAACTCAGTATATTTAATATGCTTACATTAACTTACATTTTTCGCAACCATTAAAATGATTAAAGTCAATAGAATCAATAAAGCCTTCGTCAAATTCATTAGAATGGTTGTCGACTAGTTCCTTAAGACGTGGTGTCTTAATACCATTAACATCCTTTGAAGGCGCATGGCTTGGCATAGGTTTTTTAAAATTATTTTTCTCCATACCAATTTTATCCTTGTCATTATTTAAACCAATATTTGTACATGGAGTTGCCGAATTACGGATGACATTCTTAAGTTCACCAAAAGCCTGGCGCGAGGCATGAGACTGTTTCTCCTTTCCATGGCTAACGTCACCTAGATTCTGGCTGTCACTATTAACGTACATATCCATTGCTATATTGCTTCTTGGATTTTTACGGTGTTTTCTTTAAGAATGTTTATTTTAAGTTCTTTAACTTTTGTTCTATTCCACTTATTTGCTGCTCAAACGTAAAAGTCTAGCGCCAATCGCAAAACAGTTTTGACAATAGCACAAACCAAAATAGAGTTACCAACTGCACGGTTGTATTTTCAGTAAAAATTTTTTATTATAGTTTTTCATTGAAGTAATTTATTTGGAAGACGAAGATATACTGATCAAAAAAATTATATATGAAAAATTATATTATATAATATATGAAATATTCAATTTATTGAACGAGATTAGTTCAAGATGGACCATTAATTAGCATTTGTTTCAATAAATGGCATTAATTATATCACAATAAGCAGTGAATCACTCCGTTTAGGCGAGCCTTAAAAGTTGTTTTAAGATTGTTAAAATCGACAACATTCTTTAAATTGAAGTGAATAAGAAATTGTGCTTTATAAATATAATTTTCTATAGCATGGAAAAGATGCAACTTATTAAATACAATTCGTAAATAACCAATTGTCAAAATAAGTTTATTGAGATAACATAAAGTACTATAAGAATATATTTTTTTTAAATATTGTTCAATTGTATCAAATATCGAAATCAAACGAACGAATAACATAAAAGAAAATTGAGTGTGAATATGCATGTAAAAAATTTTTTCACTGCACAGAACAGCCATTTATATACTTCGATTCTCACAAGATTTATATATTGGTGTTTATATATATCAGCTCATTAGGTATTTTTAAAAACCTTATTTATGGAAGTTTAAAATATTTATTCTATAAACATATAAAAACACCTTTAGTTTTTTCAAATCTGAGGAAAGTATAAATAGAATTTTTAAATTGTCACATCAGCTATGGTCGGCTTATTAGCATATGCTAAATATGCTAAAATATGAGTATGTTATATAAAAATTTTGAAGTAGTTGGCAACTCGACCATATTTTTAAATTATTTATTAAAAATAAGTTCTGTAAAACCCTTATTTATGGAAGTATAAAATATTTATTCTATAAACATATAAAAACACCTTTAGTTTTTTCAAATCTGAGGAAAGTATAAATAGAATTTTTAAATTGTCACATCAGCTATGGTCGGCTTATTAGCATATGCTAAATATGCTAAAATATGAGTATGTTATATAAAAATTTTGAAGTAGTTGGCAACTCGACCATATTTTTACATTAGGTCTGTTCCACGAGCTACTCATAGTAAAACATGAGTAAAACAGAAGTAAAATTTACACAAAAATACTTGAAAATTTGCTGGTGGAACGCGCTTGTGTATACACAGTGTTTACTCAAAGTTACTATGAGTACTATGAGTAAAAATAAGTTCTGTTTGCTAAAAATGTATTAAATAAAAATGCGAAAGATGTGTTGGCATGAAGTAATAATATTTAAAAATAATGGCGCATTGTCAGCATCGTTTATATCATTTTACATATCATTAACAAAGCTGATTTTTCTGAAAATTAATTAAGGTTTCTCTATCAGGATTTACTGTTAAGATTAGCGAAAGGTACGTTAAAAAAATTGAATTTAATTTTAAATTTAGTAGAAAACAATTTTAACAGTTTTTAATTTTAGTTTAAGTTATGACGGACATAAATGTAAAAATTTGTAATTATAAATGCGTTTTTGTTATTTAAGTAATTTGGCTTTAATTGGCGGCTATGCAGTAGTACAAGCTAAAATAACGGCTCTATGCCTCACTAGGGAAAACGGACGCTAATAAGAAGAAGATAAGCTAAAGCAAATAAATTATGTTATGAAACTAAAAAGGTGAAGGCTTGATAAAATAATGAATTAAATATATACTTATTCTATTGGCAACTTGATTCATATATTTTTCTTTTAGATAAGAATGCTAAAACCGCTTGCCTATATGGTCCAAAAATTGCGTCCATAGTAAAGTTCATTTTTACATCTACAGTAGGTAATTTTTTGAAAGTGAGTTAATTTACTTTAGACAGAAATATTAAGAAGACATGGGTATTTTAATAAAATCACATTTTCTTGCTCTGCGAACTTTTTTTGTTTTATTCGTGCAAAATCCATGGTATTTATATATATATTTGAATCTATTAAATTCTGATTTATATAGTTCTATTTATTTCAGATTTAATACTATTATACCAAGATAAGCAAATGAGTTTAATGTACTGGGATTATTGCAACATATAAGGCCTAATACTATTTCAATGTTAATACAAACAACTATTTTCTATTACTATCCTATTATTACTATTTCAATGGCATCTATCACGCCCTCTCAATCTAAAAAGAGGATGAAATGTTGTACAAGATTGATAGATATTATAGATTATATATTATGCAATTGTATATTTTGGGGCAAGAGTTGTACTTACGATGTTACTGGTATGATTTCTGTAAGGTTTTGGTGTTGTGGCTGTAGCAAAAACTTGGATAGTTTCGAAAGTAGTTTAGAGGGAAATATAGTTCTCTTGATAGATATAAAAGCAGATGCTTAAAAATTATATATTGCTGGTGTTTAGATTTAATAACTCTCCAAGTTGCAAATAAAACTCTCCAAAAGTAATGTAATAAACAAATAACGTTGTGTGGTGGAAAAAGACTTCTATAACAAACTTCCCTGTACCCAAAACTATTATGTATCGTTGTTTTATTTTTTTTTTTAATATTTTGGACTATATATTCTTTTCGTTCAAATTTTTTCAAGTATATAAATGAAGTTTAAAGACTTTTTTTCATAATTTTATTCATATTTAAAGGATTTTTTATATTTTACTTAGGAAGTAAATTTTAGCGGAGTGAATATAATTGATAATTGTGTTATAAATTTAATTAAAGGTCATAATACTAAACGGACTACTTTTTAAATGTTTATAATTTTTTCATAAATTTTTGTTTAATTATTTTGTTTAAATCACTATAGTGAAATATGCCACTGTTCAAATAACTAAAAGAGATTATAGTCTCCGCAAAATATCCCTTATCCGAATATTAGATTAGATTACACTTTAAACGGGTTGAGAACTTGTCACCATGGCACTGCACCGTTTGAAGATTATTGTGACACATCCATTTTAGTTCCATAGACGTGTAGCAGTTAAAAATGCCATTATGTCCGTTGGAGAGATGTTGCCTATTTCCGTTATAAGTGGGTAGGCAGCTGATAAGTACTGAAGTCTAAGTCTGGCAAGACTATCACAGTGACACAGAATGTGTTCTACTGTATCCTCTTCTTTGTGACGAAGTCTGTAGTTATCGTCTCTTGTAATAAATAGATGCTTATTCGATAGATGCTTGTTTACTTTGCAACGTCAAGTGAGAAATTCTGTGACAAGTTGGATGCCTATTCTGTTCAGCATTAGAAGGTCCCTAGTTCTGGCTTTTGATCGATTCGGCATGAATATTACTCTATCAACTAGTAAGTTTTTTTTGTCAAGCAATTGAATTTTTTTGGGAATAACTCGTACGATGTTGACTACTTATATTGAATGCTTCAGTTATTGTGTGGTCCTTTTTGAAGTAGTAACTCAGCAAAATTAGCCATGCGTTCCAGACATATAAAAGCCAGTAGCCATGGCCGCCTACGTAAAGGCTAAGTTTTGCATCTTGTTTTTATTTTTATGTGTCTAAACATATATATATTTGTGAAGGTTTTTTACATAATCCTTGCGAATATATAAGCTTAAGAACTGTTTATATATATTTATCACATATTTTCATTGTTTCTGAAAGAGATGCGATTTATGGCATATAACTTTCAATGTAAATTTTTTTGTTAGTTATAGTATTCTAGTTGTCAAAATTTTTTGTAGTTAAGAAGTTTGGTCTAAGATATATAAATCGTGTGTATAACAAATTAGAATTTTTCACGTCGATTAAAAGATGATTTTTGAAAAAAAAAGGTTAGTCTCAAGGATGTCTCCAAAAACGACACTAAAAGAGCAAATTGCAATAATTTGCCTGATGTTTATTTCGCATGGAGAAATGACCTCTTGAAATATCTATAATGCCAAAAAGAACTATTACGATTGCTACTGTGAAACCACTAATAATCATAATGTTTGATAGTTTTAATGTACTAAATTTATGTTATCAGTTCCAATACTTCTATGTGATATGTCTTGGTTGATTCAAATAAAAAAATAGACTTTATGTTAGTTGCTGCTTTTGTATTTTGTTTTCTAAAGTTAGATGACCACTGGTATGAAGAATTATGAAATTTTATCTAATATATTGAAACCGAATAATCAGTAGTTCCACGATGTTTCTTCAAACAGACTCACGTTTGTTTATAGTTTGTTGCCTCTTTAACAATATTCTTAAATATTTTACTGTTTGAATTCTTCATGTCTGGATTGAAAATACTTAGTAAATCTCTACTAAATCTTTAGTTTTATGAGATATGGTTTAGGTATTGACTCCACGATGTTTCTTCAAACAGACTCACGTTTGTTTATAGTTTGTTGCCTCTTTAACCATATTCTTACATCTTTTTCTGTTTGGTTTCTTCATGTTCTGGATTGAAAATACTTAGTAAATCTCTACTAAATCTTTAGTTTTATAAGATATGGTTTAGGTATTGACTCCACGATGTTTCTTCAAACAGACTCACGTGTGTTTATAGTTTGTTGCCTCTTTAACCATATTCTTACATCTTTTTCTGTTTGGTTTCTTCATGTTCTGGATTGAAAATACTTAGTAAATCTCTACTAAATCTTTAGTTTTATAAGATATGGTTTAGGTATTGACTCTACGATGTTTCTTCAACCAGACTCACGTGTGTTTATAGTTTGTTACCTCTTTAACCATATTCTTACATCTTTTTCTGTTTGGTTTCTTCATGTTCTGGATTGAAAATACTTAGTAAATCTCTACTAAATCTTTAGTTTTATAAGATATGGTTTAGGTATTGACTCCACGATGTTTCTTCAAACAGACTCACGTTTGTTTATAGATTGTTGCCTCTTTAACAATATTCTTAAATCTTTTACTGTTTGAATTCTTCATGTTCTGGATTGAAAATACTTAGTAAATTTTTACTAATTTTGACATAAATTATTGAGTTTAGCATCTTCTCCCTTTTTGATGCTTGTGTTATCTCTCATAATTTGTCTGGATTATGTTATGATATCAGCATCCCATGAAACGTTGTTGCTGGTATAATATTTTTTTCCTTACCCTAAAATTATTTTAATTATATTTTAAGGGATATTTTTTTATTTTTCTTTTATCATTGTTGATAATAATATAAATTAAAAAAATTATTTTTTTGGCTATGTATAATTTAAACTATTATATTTGAGCTTAAAATTTTTAGAGATATTTAGGTTAATATCATCCAAAACACGTTTTTTTAAACACTGCATTCAATTTAGAAGAGTTCTGGTACTTAGTGACAAAAATAAATAATACGGACAAATCTAATGTAGTATATATGTATGTATGTTGATCCTTTTTTCAAATCAGCGCAACTGGGCACTTTTACTCTTTGATAGCTGGGGGTACTACAGGGTCCCACCTATCTCATTGACTAATTTATGTATTCCTTATATATTCCTTATATTCTTTATTTATTCATGAATATATTTGAAAAATAAAAGAGGTGCTGAAGCCAGTACAGTATTGGCTGTATATTGTATTGGCTGCAAACATGAGCCTGATCTTGATAATCCCAAGATCTTACATGAACAAAGAAACCAAAATAAAAGGTGTTTTCTGAAAACGCTTTCAATACTTAAAATTCCGAATAGTATAAGACTAAATTATAAAACGGATACGGACAACTGTGCTCAGGCTTATACGAATATTATAAACAATTGTAATTTTCCGCTATAAAATTGAACATTGTATATTTTGTTTAGTTTCCCTGAAGATGACTATCGAAGATAGTCGAAATATTAGAACAATTATTTTTATAAAATATAAATTTTTTAAATATAAATAATAAATTAGTGTTCTTATTTCTATATAATCTATTTTTATTATTATATTTGTTAATATTAAAAATATACCTTCCTTCTTTAAAAAGTACAGACAGACAGACCCCAGTAAAATTAAGTTAAGTGATTAAGTGATTATTAATCACTTAACTTAATTTTACTTGGGTATGTCTGTCTGTACTTTTTAAAGAAAGAAGGTATATATCAAATTATATTTTTATATCAACAAAATTTCAAATTATTTCAAATTATAATCAAATTATTATTTGTTAATGAATTTGAATTTTTTTTGGCAATGTTTGGCATAAAAATTAAAATAAATAAAAAAATAAAATTAATTTACCAAAAGTTCATACTTGTCCGGGTTCGGTTGGAATCATTCCAATTATATTAAATTTTCCAAAATATATGCATTTAAATTGGATATTTGTGATGTCAATCAATTATCTCACAAGGGCTTTGAGCTAGATCAGTATGGTCTTCATTCTAAAAATGAGCAGAAATTTTACTTGTATTTACGTTTAAATATTATAAAATCATTAGAGATTAAAATATTTTAAAATCATTAGTCATTGATTAGTAATAATCATTAAAATCATTAATTACTGATTTTAAATATTTTCAAATCATTAGTTCATTCCAGCTTAATGATCTAAAGATTGATCGTCGATTGATCGCTCAATTTACCAGGCTATATTAGAGAAAACTCTATGGTATAAACTGTTGTACACAATATTTTAGATGTCCTCTTAATGAACATCTATTCTATACTTAGTACTAGAATTTATAATACGTAGATTGGTAGTTCGTGTGGCAAAAAAGTGTTCTCATGTTCTTCGCAATGAATTCACTACTTGTTATCCTCAACTAGAAAAGAGTAAAAGAGGTAGTAATTGTGGACGATGTAGTGCTATTAGTATCAGGTTTATTGCCTGCAGAGCTTTCCACAATTTTAATATAAATAATTAAAATTAAATAAATAGGTTTTGAAGTTTTTTAAGTTTTTAATAACAGGGCACTGTTGACGGAGAATTTGTAAAGCAAATCCATTTAATCATTTATTTACACGATGCCATTGCTCAAACTTATAATTGATAGGCTTAGGTAGGCTACACATATCATGAGAAGCGTAGGAGCTATAAATATTATTATATTTCTTTACCCCGCTTCACTTACCACCCATCAACTTATTCGTTAAACATACTATCATTTCTTCCACACAGACACTAGAGGGTTTGAAGATATGGCAATTTTAACATATTGAAATATACAAAATTTTTATTCAAATGCGTCGCATTTGGTCGTTCCAATTAATGACGCAAATCGGGTATTAGTGTACATTTAATTCTAAAAACTTAATGAGGTAAACTTACAATTGCTAATCCTCCCGTTCATTGTCCTCATATTGCTGTTTTCTGCGAGAAACTAACCTTATTGACCACTACTCACCAAATTAATAAGAGGTGTTTGTTTAAAATCAAACTCCCTGAAGTGTGAAATTTCCTCAACTAATAACTCATAGATCTTAGTTGTAAATTGTTCTAAGATTGTTCTCTTCATCCGTTCTCAATAGTTTCGTAGGCATTCAGTTCACACTTCCAAGTCAAATTCCTGTTCCCGTTGGTGCTCTGTAGCATTAAAAGTTTCTGGATTTTCTAAATCCACCTGGTCCTTGAATTTATTTTGTTTGTTTGCAAATTTTTTTTGTTTTTTAAATTTGGTAATATAGGTAGCTTCCCTACGACTTCCACCAATTGGTAGGATTCGTTTAGATTTCAGCTTGAGGAGAGCTTTGTCGTTTCCAGGACTCCTATTTTTTTTCCATTTTTTATTATTCAGTTTATTCACACCAATTTTATTTGTTTGTTTAGTATTTTTGACTTTACTACGAATGTTCACTTCTTTTGGAAGACGAATGCATATTTTCCAAGAAGGAGAAGATGGTGATGTTACTACGGGGTCGGTACAGTGGAAAAATATATGTAATAACAGGATTATTATTAGACAAAGTATTGCTATTACAAAAATATTCATATTGCAATTTCTTTTTTGAATTTGGAAAAATAAAATGTTTAATATAAATTACTCCAAAATATACAAAAATTTTGCAATACGAAAGCAGCAACTAAAATGATGAAAACTGAATTATAAATAAATTTATTTTTGTAAATAAATGAAGTATCTTTATTTTAAATATATGCCAACTTGATTCAAAATTATTAGAAATTTATTATTATTGAAATAAAGTACAGTCTGTATGAGAGTTTTCCACTTCCCAATATATTTATTGGGCTTTATATTTGCGGAGTGACACAGGGGTACCGTTTTTAATCCTCCTTTGAGATCAATAAAAGCAGGAAAGTGTTACAGATATCGGAACCAACTATAAAGTGACGATTTCAAGTTAGGTTGAGTTATCTGATTTACAGAATGTGTTCAAAAAGTATTGAGAATTTTGATGCTGTACGCACTGTATTGTATCTTAGTTATCGAGTCATGTTTTTTTATGTATTGGTTGTGCGTACCATGTTTAATTTATGATTGCCCAGGTGAAAAGGGGAGTTGTAAATTATAGATGTTTGTTCCGTACAAATGTGACAACATGTATGGAACAAGACCTATTTATTTCTTTGTGTATAACTCTGAAATAGGTTCAGTGGAAATGTATGTAAGTCGTACAAAACTTAAATGTCCGATAAAGATTCAGATCGATCTGAAGAAATCTTTTTTGGTATCATCTCAAATATCATCAGTCAAAAATTAGTTTTGGTGGTAGCGATTCTAAGTGCTTTGGAAATGTCGTCACTTGGTGCTGTACTGAAATTTTCTCGACTATTGCAATTAATTTATCAGTCTTTGTCTAATAAACTGCTATCGCTCTTTAAAATCAAGTAATTCTTCATCTAATATAAATCACATATTTTATTTGTGAGTTTTATTTATTTTGTATATTTCGTTTTTTTATTCTCTATTAATAATATTATTTTACTTTTTTTTAGAGATACTTTTTTTTAGAGTATATTTTTGCAACAACTGCATGCAATATTCGAAGCAAAGAGTGCAATGACGTTCTGCATGAAGGCAAATGGTTGGCGACTGACTGGCTGGTATATAAATAAATTTTGTAATTTATAATCATAATTGAAATAAACTACTATAATTAAAATAACATTAATTTTAACATGAATTTATTATTTATGAAATTAATCAGAAGTTTTACGACCACCTTAGATAAAACTATCTTATTTTTCTTTTTACTCTATATAATCATCCCAGCGATGTTCAAACTTATTTAGCCTTTCTAAATATTGTGTATTGTGTTAAGCTTTCTAAAATAGCCATTTACGATGAATAATAGAAATTGGAATAGAAATAAATACGCTACCAGCCCCCAACGGAGCGGCGAACTGCGACCATGGGTGATAATTTGTGCTGTAACAGACTCTAATCCAACAGAAGACTTTCCGCCTTCCGAATGAAAGCCAGAATGACAGTCGTTGAGGATCTCTTAATGTCAGAAGGGGAGAGTAGTTTTCGACCCAGGGCAGTCACAGAGTATGTGACTTGAAGTCGCGTTTGCTTCTAAACAGACTTGACAATTTATCTTTTTGGACAGACCCATTTTGTTGAGGTGATAATGCAGTCCATGGTGACCCGTTAAATGAACAGTAAAATTATTTGAACCAAATTCTATGCGTTGAGTGTCCTGGCTATGTACCGGGGCGTGCTTATCGCTATATGTTTCCTTACAATATGTGATACTAATAGCTTCTATATATCAGCCATTCATTCGAAATATATCAGCTATCAGCTCTAAATCAACTATCGGTTGTAACTAATTGCAAGCTTCTTTTTATATTTTCCCCCTGATTACTGGAATGAGATCTCAGCCAGATGACTTTCAAGTCTAATGGTTGAGATCATTTAAATTTTTCCCTAAAAGGTGGTTTTAGCGGGTTCAAGTCTCACACTGTTTTTTTTTATTTTTTTCACCTACTGTAAAAACCTCTAATACTGGAGTATGTTTCCCGATTTTTGTTTTTGAGTTTAAGATTTTTTAAGTCTGATGTTACCAAGCGCGGTACCTACTTTCAGAAAATCTATATTAAAGATAAGTGTTTATGCAAAATGTTTAATGGCCTGCTGATATCTGAAAGAAGTCAGGCATCAATTTTTAAAAGTGGTTTTAACCTATACGATCTATAACTATCTGTATATTCAAGATGCAGTGAGAGCCTGGTTATAATTTTTTAAAGTTAACGATGTTTCTTCCGTAATTTGTGATAATTTCTTCCACTAGCGTATAAAGCTATATAGCCAAAATATATATTTATGTATATCTTTTATTGCTGTAATATATAATATATGTATTATATTACAATTTTTACATTTATTGTAAATGAAATAAGTTTAAATAATAATATACAGCAATGACTTGAAAATTGTTATGTGATTTCCTGAACACTACGGACCACTATGGATGGACCACTATGGGTTCCCAAATTCAATCGTTACCCATACATTATTAAAAAAGCGTGTGAAATGATATTGCATGAAGAAAAATGGAGTTCGAGAAGACACCTGACTTTTTAAATATAGCTCTATGTGATATATGTTTCGGTTTTTCTGACAGTATATTCAAGACTTTGAACTGTTTTGGGGTACAATGGAATGACTTTTGTATGTTTTTATGTTTTTGGCAATGGATAAACAAACTTTGTAAACCTGGGTTTATAAAAATGTTTATATTATATATTTTTTCAAATCAATCATTGGATACATAACAAGCTAAATATATTTTAGAAAATTTAAATCTATGGATAAAATACGTGGTGGCTGTGTATGAATGGACAATTTGTTTACTTAATTATTTAAATAAATAATTTAAACAAACCCTGAAATAATAGTATAAACTTTTTTAAAATCGGATTGTTATGTTTTTTAGTAAGTTTGTGATGATTGTATCGTAATATTGCCTAGTAGCTCTTATTTTAAATTGATTTTTAACGCCTGTTTTGACGAAAGAAACTAAATTTTTATATATAAACTCTTGTTGTCAATAAAGAGGTTTGTATCGAACAGTAGTGAAAATGCAACAACAAAAATTTTTTCTAATTTTTTAAATTAATTAAAGTTTTGGCAGAACATACCAGCTGTTTCGAGTATTGCCAAATGCCCATCATCATTGGTCTTGGAATTATTTATTGTATTTAATTATTCGTAAATAATTTTTTTTGACTGCAAGTACCAAGGGTTGAACACCTACCTTACCAAATTTGAAATTAAATGTTAGTGTCATTAGCCAACTGACCTTTTGTTAAGGATCTTCCATAGGGTTAGTATTGCTTTTTCGCAAATTATAAAATAAATTATATTTAAAAATTAAATAATATTTAAAAATTAAATAATATTTAAAAATTAAATAATATTTAAAAACTGCATAACATGAGCTAAAAAGGTTTAGGTGCCTGAGTACTTTCTGAGATGAATAAAATAATATAATTAAATGAAATAATACTTATCAAAAATCGAAGACAAAAATCCATATTTCCCATGTTAGTTTTTAAAAAACAATTCATACACATAATTACGTCATATTACAGAATTATAATTCTTATTAACTTTACCAATGAGTGTTTATAAAAGTTATATAGCAACTTTATAGAATTTGTAAATTTAATATAATATTGTTATTGGTCTTCCATTTGGTTTGTCACCTTCAAGTTCCCTTTTGAATTACTTTTATTTTAAATCGATGAATAATATCATAGAATAATTAACGGAAATAATACCAATCCAGTAAAAATCTAAAACAAAAAGAAATCGCTATTCCATTATTCATATATGTTTTAGAAAATTTTTTAATATATGATATACTACTGCTAATGTGCTGGTATAGTTTGTTGCTAAAGTAAAAGGTGTATGCCTAAGTTTTTTCGCGTTTAACTAAGAGATGGCGCAAATGAAAGCTATATAGCGTATTAGTTTGACATGTACGTCATTTTATTTGTCTAATATCAAACTACAATCATAGAAGTAGACCTGGCGAGACCGATAGTTTAACATCAAGGCCGAATCGCTTAGGCAAAGAAGACCATGCGTGGTTATACCAGAACGGTTGCGTATTATGAACTATTGAAGACCGGTGAAACTCTTAATGCACAACTCTATTCTCAACAAATGATTAATTTAAATCACGTATTAATCGAAAAACGAAAAGATAACGATAGTTGTATAATTTAGTAGTATTAGTAGTCCTAATAATCTATAACACAAATATCGAAATGCATACCCATAAGAATATTTTAAAATATTCTGTACGGTTTTAAATCATCATATCATATCTCGTAGATTAACTATGATTAACTCTTACAAACATTCAATAAAATTAAATTGAAATAATTTATATTTTTCAATTTAATAAGTTACGTTGGACCATGGAATGAATGGGCCATAAGACAAGAAATGGCAATGCATTATATGACAATACACAGTCTCATACAGTAAAACTAGTGGGAGATACCTTGAAATCATTTGGGTGAGAGAACTTTCCACATCTGCTGTACTTCTGAGACTTGGCGCCAGCTGACTATTACCTTTTCGCTTCAATAGGGTACGCGCTTGTAGAGTACCAATTCAGTAATATCGAAGAAGTTGGAATATGTCTTGACAAATCCTTTTCCGAACAAGACAAAAGACACTTTTTCTGTTATAGAGTTTATAAATTAGTTAAAAGATGGACGAAATGTGTATAAGCCTATGGCCAATTTTTTTAATAAAAAAAATTGATTTTCTTTGAAAATTACTCAGTTTCAAAAAAAAAAAAAACACCAGGAAAAAACTTATGCAGATACCAGGTATATATAATAATATTAAAGTTAGATTTAATAATTATTGTATTAATCGGGCTTTAAAACAAACTTTAATATGGACAGTTTTTCTCATTATTATATAATTTTTTAAATATATTTTTTAAATTTTTTTTATTATTATTATTATTTATTATTATTTTTTTTATTATTTATTTTTTTTTATTTTATTAAAATTTTTATATTTTTTTAATTTTTTTTAAAAGCTTTTATAATTTTTTTTTTTAACTCTCATTAATTTTATTTATTTTCTATAATTTAATTTAATTTTTTTTTGTATTATATCAAAATTTTTGATATATTTTTTTTTAATTTTTTGTTAATATTTTTTAAAATTTATTTTTAAAATTTTTGTTGTTGTTGTTGTAGTTTGAGTTAGTGCTATTGCGCACCTTTATTCTTTTGTGGCTGGGGGGGCTTATCCCTGTCCCACACTAAGCTTTAACTATATTAGAATTATTATCGTTTATTTATCTTTTAACTGATGACGGATCGTAGGTCAGCACATCTTCCTGTGCGTCCTTAGGTGGACTTAAGGTTTGTTAGGGCGGGGTTGGGCAACATATCGACTTATGTGAATAATTTTAGGGCTTTGTCCTTGATACATTTTTTCACTGAGTCGATCCTTAGATCTCTATGCATGTCTGTTGTTCTAATATACCAATAAATCTTAATTAGTCTTCTTAAAGCCAAGTTTTGTGCTATCTATAATTGCTTTATGGCAGTATTTTTTTAATTTTTTTTAAAAATTTTATTAATTTTTTGAAAAAGCTTTTTTTTTACTTTTTTTTTGTTTTTTAACATATTTGCTAACTGTAGACCATATAATAACCAGAAAGGGTTAATATATAGAAAAGGACAATAATATGAATTGAATACATTTAATGCGGGTCATAGAAAGTTAATTTATATTAAAACCGGTCAACTAAAAAATCTCGGTACGTAGAAGATACATAGATCAGTATATGCTATTACTCGCAGTAAGTATGATTTGCAAGAAATTTATTTTTAAATTAATACAGTTGTTCTCATTAATTCAATATGTGCTTTAGGTTTGTTGCTGTTTTATTTTCACATTGGAAGAAAACACCTTAAACAATATACGAGCATTAAGAGATTAATGATCATATAAAAATGTTATCATTTTTTTTGTATTGAAGCACAAAAAGAAGATCACGAATGCATGTTGTGCATCATGCGGAGCATCGTATATGCAATTAAAATTCGCATAAAACACATAAGCTGACCTCTGAGATACATTGGGTCGAGCGGAACCGTTGCGCCAAAAATCAACCAAGAATGCATAGTAATTAAAAGCACGCAGAAAGGTTGGTGAAGGTGCAATATTAGCAAGTCGAAAAGAGGCAACAGCTAATTACAAATTGGAGCTTAAAGAATAATTCATTAGCGAGGCAGCAAAGAGCATGAAAATAAGCCGAAAGCACGCAAATCGCTCACCCGCCACTTATGCATTTACTTCCTGACTAAACAACTAGAGCAATTAATAACAGAAATTATAATTGCAATATAATGTTGCACATGCGAATGAATATGATATATCAAAGTAAACAATTACAATGAAAATGCTTACTTTGCACTACATATACCATAATATTATATTTTCACCCTGAATGTTGTCATTTAACTAAAAAAACTATGCAATTTTAATAAAAATATATAAAAGGATGATCTTTTTTTATAGCATTACTGATAAAATCATTCCGGTCATATGACAACATGGGAGAATCTGAGAAAGTAAAATATCGAGATTGAATTATTCATCATATTTTCAATCATTCACTACGATATCTCACTTTTGACTTTTAAATGTAAAATTGATAGCTTACCACCATTGATAGCTTACCACCATTGATAGCTTACCCCCATTGATAGCTTACCCCCATTGATAGCTCATCGCCATAGACTAGTGCTTTCAAACATCTGTACAAAAAGCACTATTATGAAAGTTGTGTTGCCATTAAAGGTTAATTCAAATCGATGGTTGCTCTAGAACCATGCCGCACTATCCTCTTAAAACGATAAACCTAACAGACCATATTTACTCAATTTTTAGAGAGCGGTTGTTTAACAAGTTTCGCGATCTCGTTGTCAATAACTTTATTTTTGAAGAAATATGATGTGACTACGCTATCAGCCCATAAACTGTAGAAAATAGTGCATTTGCAGTGTGTATCAGATATTGAAGCATTACTGTCGGAGGTTCTTCGCATTAAGAAGAGTAATTTTGCTCCTAGATGAAGTCACTAAGGCAAAAGTGATCCTAAATATTAGCCGTTGAAATGCTCATTTACTAAAATCATAATGCAAACAATGATCAAGCGGATTGAAAGTTTTGCACCATCAAGATATGAATGCGAAGTTTTTCATAATATGGATGGATAGACACAAATTTTTCATGAACGCTGTTGGATTGATGAATTACACCTTGTGCTGTGAAAATCGATGAGTCTTTTTTTAAATAGCAGAACTACTAGCTCGATCATATGGATTTTAAAATTGACGAAGCTCACTTTAGCAAATTTTGCTAGTGTATAGATTATAAATAAATTTTAAAAAAATATATGACTGCAAATATTTTGCTATCTTCTGGAGAGAGAGAGAGAGATACACGAAAAACTTTTACATCTTTCCAAATTAACAACAGCACCGTTATTAACATATATAAAAGCAACATTATTGTAAAGTTTAATTCCCCGTTTTATTGTATGAATACAGCAAACGCATTCGATTCGTTTCAATGTGTTCTTCATATTCAAAAGCTTGGCACTACTACAGATTGCTCCTCATCGATTATGATATCAGGAAAAGTATACACTGTTTGGTTTCGCATAATCAAAAACAAGTGTATTCCCAAATTATCAATACCAGGAACTAAAAATACAAATACATACAAGACAACTCCCTCATTATAAAAATCAAAGTAAGACAATTAAAAAAGATATTACAATATATTTTAACTTTATTTTTCAGAAATTTTTGATCCAGATTAAAAATAAAATAAACACAAATTAACTAATGGTTCCATAGACGACGACTCCATTACATTCACTACATCATGAACAATCTGAAATTTAAAAGTTATATATAATTTTTCATCAAATCAGATATATTAATATTTTCTTACACATATCTCAAGTGATATGCTTAATTGATTTCAACAGATTTACTTTGATCCACTTGAGAGTTTTAATTAAAGTAATTCTTTTAGGGTTATTTCTAGGGAATACAAAAGAAATCATATGCATAATATGAAGATTTCGATATACCATATATGTACTACTCACTTTCATTATAGATTTGTACTATAAATTTTCATATATGTATATATACATGTATATAGGTATATGCTTTCATTGTAATTGCTTTTAAATATTGTATGTACTTCCTTCCACCAGTCAATCATTCATTATATCCGTTGATAACCAAAAGAGAAACTCTCTTCAAAAAAAATCTAAGATTTCAATGAATTAAAGATATATAACAAATAATAATTAATTGAATTTCCACCTACCTGGTCTTTTATTAAATAATGAATATTACACATTAATATAGTACTGTTAACCAAAGCAACTTGCATAAGATAAGGATATATAGTAAGATTTTTATAAATGAAATGTGTATTATAAAAATTTACGAAGTCGAAGGAATCATTATCTATAGTAGTGTATAATGAAACAACACGTATCCTTAACTTCACTCCATTTTAATAATAAGTGGAAATTTTTATCCAGTATAAAGAAATTTTATAGAGAAAGAATCTTAAATCGAAATGCTATTATAATTTAATGAAATCTTTGGAATTAATTTGTGTAAGATAATCTAATAATCTCACTCACCTCTTTCTTAACTTAGTTTATATGAAAGTTTATATATGGTTTAAAATTGAGATATAGTTTTCCTAACATATTCTTTTGCCACGGATGGATTGGATGGTGCCTCCTTGAAAAAAGTTTAAAAGAAGTGGATATAAGATTTTGATAAGGTTAGAAGCATAATAGTTCTAATAGTTTTCGTTTTAGTTAGTCTTTCTAATATTATAATAAATGATGAAACAACACGTATCCTTAACTTCACTCCATTTTAATAATAAGTGGAAATTTTTATCCAGTATAAAGAAATTTTATAGAGAAAGAATCTTAAATCGAAATGCTATTATAATTTAATGAAATCTTTGGAATTAATTTGTGTAAGATAATCTAATAATCTCACTCACCTCTTTCTGAACTTAGTTTATATGAAAGTTTATATATGGTTTAAAATTGAGATATAGTTTTCCTAACATATTCTTTTGCCACGGATGGATTGGATGGTGCCTCCTTGAAAAAAGTTTAAAAAGAAGTGGATATAGATTTTGAAAAGGTTAAAAGCATTATAGTTCTAATAGTTTTCGTTTTAGTTAACCTTTCTAATATTATAATAAAAAATCTGATATATATATTTAAATCGTTATACTCGTATTGAGTACGCAACTAACCACGCAACTATGAAATAATTTTCCTACTCACCTTATTTTTAAATTTGTGATGATAGAAATATAATATATATATAACAAACTTAATTGTTATAATTATTTGGATGCTACATTTTAATGTCCAAGTGTCCAAGTGTCCAATACGACCAAGATTGATACAACAAGAAATTTTGAAGTTAACGCTAGAATTTTGAGAAAAAACAAAAATTTTTATTTTTTAATTTTACTAGTCAGTTTCTTTAAATTTATGTCTACTTTGATTACTATATAATTATTCTTTTCGATCTAAATGATTTATTATTTATCCTTAAATAAACTTTCTTCTAAGAAAGAAATATTTTATAAACCTTTAGTTATCGCCTGGAATACCGTCAGATTTTGTATGTTTAATAATAAATAAAATAAAACACTTTGCGGACACTGTCAAACTGTAAAGCGAAGAAATCTTTTGCGTAAAGGTGTGGAACTGGATTAAAGCTTAAGCTAAGAACAACTTCTAGCTTCGACATTATTCTGAGACGCGAATTAGACGTACCAGGAAGAAGATTTTTCGACCGCGAAGAGGATTAGATAAACACTTGGTTTCTCAAGCGACATGTTGTTCTTCTTTCATTTTAAAGTGATCTGTTTTATACCATATAGTATTTTAAAATGAAAATATCTTGGATCCATTGTTACATATAAAAATCCAAAATGCGGTCGGTTGAATGTAGAAAAATTGGTAAAATTTGTTTAACCCGATTACAAGCAATAAACTCTGCGGAGAAGATATTTCATATATCAAGATGGACAGAATAGTATATGACTTCCTTAATAATTTAAAAAGATTAAGAACAGGTATCTTACTACGTAGCCCTATTCAATTACGATAATAAATCCTCCTCATTAGAACGGAACTGAGGTTGTTGACAGGTTATTTGACGTGTCAAACATGGACTGCGTTATCAACGCAATGTCGTCTCTATTTAGATGCATATGAGACTTCTAGTCACATTTGTTGTGATTGTTCGATTTTGATATGGGAGGGGAGGAGTCTGTTAGATCAGAGATTTCTGTCCTTGACATTAACTTTCATCAAAAGACATCGTCAAGTTGTCTCAACAGCTGACATTTTCATTTTCATTCCATAGGCGGAGTGTGTTCTGCTGGGACCTATAAAAGAGTAACCATGGTAGAAGTTTTTTAATTCACTGGGAGCCAATTTCCCATTTATTTTTTTATTCTGTTGCATTCTAAAAGAATGTCGGTTACAATAATGAAATTATATTTAATGTATTTTAAATTTCTTTCTCATCTAAAAGAATTAAACTCAAGTGACGACTATCAAGTCGCATATCTTAACACAATGCTCCACGGATGAATTTGACTCTAACTTTATAATAAAACAGGTTTCAAACAAATCCCTTTCGTGAGACTAATTAGTCACGTCTTTCTTTATTAATTTATATACGCATATATTAAGCTAATATTAAGCTAATAAGTATAATTGAATAAGAACTATACAACATGGCTTTAGTCATCTGTCGCAAAAATAGGTTAGGTATTCATAAAATAAATATAAAGTACAGTTCTTTTTAACAAAATTTGTTTACCTATGCTAGTTAACATTTATTTCATCGTTCTACATTTTCCATAAATGTCTGGATCTGAGTTTCTTGAGTATAAGATATAATCCCATAAAGTGCTACATTTATTTCATCGTTCTACATTTTCCATAAATGTCTGGATCTGAGTTCCTTGAGTATAAGATATAATCCCATAAAGTGCGGCAAGCTTTATAGAACATATTTCTAAAAACCTTATCTGAAAACTCTTGTCTTTGAGTTTGACTATACCTTTTTTTTTTTTTTTTTTTTTTTTTTTTTTTTTTTGCAGTTTGTGGAAAGCATCGAAAGCCACAGTGTGAGATTGAACCCACTAAAACCAACTCTTAGGAATGAATGAAGAAGATTTCCACAGCAATGTGGAAACTTCATTCCAGTAATCATGGGAAAGGGGAATGAGAAAATAGACTTAATACCTAGTGAACTAGATTCATCTAAGTCAGAAAGCAAGGGCATAAACTAGGTAGGATGGATGATATAGAAGGGGGAGGGGTTACGGCTAACTAGCGGGGATGGAATTAACAATATACTTTGTGACTGGGGTCACGAAAGCCGCGGTTATATAAGGGGATAGTGGAGAGGTTACGGTCCACTTCGTCGAAGTAGTGAGTTTGACCATACCTGTTGCGGTTTAAAAGATTTATATAAGATATTGCTTTTCTAATATCCAGATTTTTATAATATCTTCTTTCACTGTATATTACAACATTTATATTTTTTTGTATGTGTCGATGCTATATCTTTTGTATAAGATTATAGTTTAGAACTGACGAATAATGATAGTATACCAATCGATTCAAAATATCTGTATATGGAGCGGTGTTTTACTTAATGCGAAACTTTTTAAAATAAATTTAATTAAGTGTAAAATGTTAGAAAATAAAATTTTTGGTCTTCGTATATAAATCGTTTCGGACACTCACAAGATAGGTACTAAAAATATTGAAAAGATATATTTTTAAACATAAGTCCATGTTTTGTAATCAATGCTGCAATAACCTAAATAAACAGGTACATGAGAGGGATCATAATGTTATACATATAGCACGGTTAAAACCAATTAAAAGTCATATTTGAGAACATGGAACGAATAGATAAGAATTATAGATAAGAATAATCCCATTCTTCAACATGAAAAGGGGAGCATATACATTGCTACATAGCAGAGTTGATTTGAGAATTCTATGTGAAGTCACTACAGGGTATTAAAGCTGGAACTGCAACTTGTATAAATAAGACATCTACCAAAGAAACTAATACGGTTAAAACTTTAAAGATGGAGACACAATGAAGCATGTAATTGCTAAAAATCCAGGTCTATTCACGACTGAACTACTGGTAATTAAAAAGCTGGGATTAATAGAAAATATTTAATAAGGAATTTAACTTGATAAAATTAATGTTTTCTTAACAAAATAAAAAGCTTATAAAAAGGCACAAGGTGGGTGTAACCTGCAACCGCAGTGAATATAGGTCTATTGGTCCTAATTTTCTCTTTGCAATAAAAAGGATTAGAAGAGGAACGAAATCGGAATAGTTTTTTTTTTGAATAAATTAAGTGGACAATTGTCTTTAAAAAAATGTTAATATAAAATGATCAATAATTACTTTGCCTTTTGCCAGAATAATGTAGAGGAACTTATATATCTTTCACAAATATAAGTTCGTTCCAACACCTGAACTCTAAATGTATGACAATCGTAAGAGAACTCATTCTTCGTTAATGTAATTAAAAAAAAAACAATTAAAAAAAATGTTTGTTTTTATATAAAATTTTTTATTGTAACTTTTTAAAAAAGTTTTTAATAACATTTAAACATTTTCTAAATAATAATAAAATGTATTTTTATGCCTGTATAAATATTTTTATAAATACGTTCATATATTTAACTTTTCAGTAATAAGTTTTTATATAAAAATTAAGTTGCTTGGCGGCTTAGAAATTGTAAAATATTTATTTATATTTTTAAAAATAAGATATGTAATAAAAATATTTTCAAATTTTACAGTTTAATAAAATCTTATACATAAATAATCAAAAATTTTTTTTTCTTATATAAATTAAATAAATTATTTACATACAAATTTTGACTTTTATAGTCAGTTTTTTTAACTAGATGTTTTTTTTTTTCAATTAGTCTTACGATTTTTTATATTCTTTTTTTTTTTTTTGAATTTTGATAAATGGCCGCAAAAATAAATTTATTTCGCTAATAATTTTTAAAATTCTAAATATTTTTAATAGAAATATATTTCTATTTTTAACAACTCAAGATATATAGTTTTTTAATTGCAGTTTTAATAATAAATTTAAAGTTTAATTAATGGATTCAAAATTTTATTTTTTTTTAATATTTAAATTGCTTTTAAAGTCTGAAAATTATTATAAATTAAATAAACATTATTAAATAAAAACATGAGCTTTTCTACTGACTAGTAAAAATAAATATTATTAAATACAATTCTATAAAATAATTTTATTTTAATTATTAATTTGTTAATTATTAAAGTTTTTTAAATGTTTTGTTGCCAGTTATATTGTATTTGTGTATGTATTAAATAATATGTATTATAAAAAATATGTAACATATTTAAATGATATATTGTGTATAGTATATAATATATGGACTTGTATATGTTAAATAATACAAGTTAGGTCTTTAAAAATTAAGTACAAATGAGTGGGCGTGTTTCGTATTGTGTATGCTGCTGAAGAAAGCAATCAATTCTGTAGAGAGATTGGGAACATAGAATATAGTAACAGATTAAAAAGAACATACTTTACTGAAAGCTAGAAGTAGAAATTGTTTCAATAGTATTTAGGTAGAACTTTAAAATTAATTAAAAAAAATAAACAAATAAATAAAAAATATAAAATTATTTAGTTACATTGCAATAAGCTGCTATCTTTGGAATATTTTGTGAATATATGTTAATGAGCATAAGATCGCTCATGTGCTCCTTTTATGGATTGGACTTAAGCAAGTTAGAAAGTTAGTTTTATATTTGTCTTACCCTTAATATCCTTTTTTATTACAATAAGTAGTTTTATTACAAATCAATTATCTTCTGTTTACTTACAACATATTTTCAAATATATGTAGTATATATATACATATATATATATCAAAAGTATGTATGAATATCTTCATTTTTGTTTATTCACATCTACATATATTTATATATATAAGCATATTTTCAAATTACTTTATATGAGCGCTATATAACATATAGTGGATACATTTTTAATACCTCAAGCTAGAAAATAGATTAGATATTGCCACAGTGTAATTAGATCTTTCACTGCAATGTAATTTGAAGGACTTTAAAAGACTAAGAAAGTTCAAAATTACATGGAGACGAACGGTTTTGAATCAATTACAACGACAATGGCAGTCTAAACATTACTGTCCATACAACTATAATAGCTATACATATAATATAATATATATAATAGCTGAAAAGTGTCGATGAATTCGATATAATAAGAATGACATTGCAATTTCATCAGCAAGCCTTTAGAAGACAAGAAGAACTCAAGACTATATGGTGAAGAACATTTTTGAATGAATAACAATGAGCATGACAGCAACTTAGAACAGATAGAAGA